CTTAGACTTAAGAGCCCAGTCAGATAATCTAGGATAATCTCATCTTGAAATTGTTAATTACATCTGCAAAGACCTTTTTCCCAAATAAAATCACATTGTAGGGATTAGGGCAAGGACATATCTCTTCATGGATGACATTCAACCTACTATAATCAGTTTGGAGGCAATTATAATTATTTGTGTAGAAAATGACGAGAGCCTGAATTGGGCTGGTGGCAAGCTGGAGAGAAGTGGATAGATTTGAAGTAGTATACTAGTAGTGGTAGCGCGTAAGAAGATGTCATGATGGTTTAGAAGTGGGAGCTGAGGGAGAAGGAGTGGTGAGTCAGCGTCCTGAAATTTGGACACAGAGCTGTGTAACCCAGGTCTGCATTCAAAAAGACTCCTCAGGGCCACGGAAGGAATGTACTGGAGCATGGAGACTAAAGCCAGGGAGAAGCCTGAGGTATGGATCCAGGTGGGACAGCACAAGTCCTGAGCCAGCCTGAGCCATGATGACAGAGAGGAGGGGACAGGGTAGAGAATTAGGAGGAAGGATGGATTGGATTAGGGACTGATGGGCTCAAAGGGAGAACATGAAGACAAATCTCTTGATATTACCCAATCAGAGGGGAAAAACAGAAATAAGAATGAAAAAGGGTGAATTCAGTTCACTACCATTTTGTTGAGGACTTTTGCATCTATGTTCTAACCTTAAACCTCAAGAAACTAGAAAAAGAAGAACAAACTAAGCCTAAAGGTAGCAGAAGAAAGGAAATAATAATGATTAGAGCAAAAATAAATGAATTAGAGACTAGAAAGACAGTAAAAAAGATCAAAGTTTTTTTAAAAGAGAAACAAAATTGAAAAACAAAACCTTTAGTCAGGCTAATGAAAAAATAAATAACTCAATAAAATTATAGATGAAAGAGGAGACATAATAACTGATACCACAGAAATACAAAAGATTATAAGAAACTACTACGAGTAATTAGATAACTTAGAAGAATTGGATAAATTCCTAGAAACATATACAACTTACCAAGACTGAATCACGAAGTAAACCTGGACAGGTAACAAGCAAGTAGATTGAATCAGGAATCAAAAACCTCCCAACAAACACAATTCCAGGGCCAGATGACTTTATAGGTGATTTCCACCAGACATTTAAGGAAGACTGATCATTGTCAAACTCTTCGCAAAAATTGAAAAAAGAAGACTTCCAAACTCATTTTATGAGACCCACATTACTCTGATACCAAAGCCGGACAAGGATACTTCATGTAAAGAAAATTACAGGCCAATATCCCTGATGAACATAGATGTAAAAGTCCTCAACAAAAAAACTAGCAAACTGAATTCAAAAGCACATTAAAAGAATCATACACCACAATCGGGAGGGATTTATCCCTGGGATGCAAAGTTGGTTCAACACATGCAAATCAGTAAATGTGATTGATACACCACATTAACAGACGAAGGATCAGATGACCATTTCAATAGATACGGAGAAAACATTTGACCAAATTCACCATATTCTCATGTAAAAATTCTCAAAAAAATTAGGTATAGCAAGCATGTAACTCAACATAATAAAAGCCAATATGACAAGCCCACAGCTAACATCATATTCAATAGTGGAAGATTAAAGAGCCTTTCCTCTAAGATCAGGAACAATACCAAAATACACACTCACCACTTTTACTCAATATAATATTTGGCGTCCTAGCCACAGCAATTAGGCAAAAAAAAGAAAGAAAAGTCATCCAAGTTGGAAAGGAAGAAAACAAACTGTTTGCAGACAACATAGATCTTGCATAGAAAACCCTAAAGATTCCATAAAAAAAAACTGTTAAAATTAATAAATGAATTCACTAAAGTTACAGGATACAAAATCAACATGAAAGAATCAGTTGTGTTTCTACACACTAACAATAAATTATCTGAATGTGAGATTAAGAAAGCAATACCATTTATAATAGCATCAAAACCAATAAAATACTTAGGAATAAATTTAATCTAGGAGGTGACACATCTGTACCCTGAAAGATGTAAGACACTGATAAAAGAAATTGAAGAAGACACAAATAAAGAGAAAGATATCCAGTGTTCTTAGATTGGAAGAATTAATGTTGTGAAAATGTCCATGCTACCCAAAGCAATCTATAGATTCGATGCAATCGTTATCAAAATTATAATGGCATTTTTCACAGAAATAGAAAAAAACATCCTAACATTTGTATGGAACTACAAAGGACCCTGAATAGCCAAAGCAACCTTGGGAAAGAACACATCTTGATTTCAAACTCTATACAAAGTTACGGTAATCAAAACAATATGGTACTGGCATAAAAACAAGGAAACGGAATTGAGAAATAGAGAGGCCAGAAATATATCCACATACATATATAGTCCACTAATTTTTGACAAGGGTGCCAGTAACACATAATGGGGAAAAGATGGTCTCATCAATAAACAGTGTTGGGAAAACTGGATACCCACATGCAAATGAATGAAAAAGAACCGCTGTCATACACTACTCACAAAAATCAACGTGAAGTGGATTAAAGACTTAAATGTAAGACCTGAAACCAGAAAACTCCTAGAAAGCACAGAAAAACAGCTCCTTGAGTTTTGCCAAGTTGATCTTGGCAATAATTTATTGGTTAAGACACCAAAAGCATAAGAAACAAACGCTAAAATAAACAAGAGCGATTACATCAAACAAAAGCTTCTACACAGCAAAGGAAACAATAAACCAAAAAGGCAGCCTTTTCAGTGGAGAATGGGAGAAAATATTTACATACCACATATCTGATAAGGGGTTAATATCCAAAATATACAAAGAACTCATACAATTCAATAGCACAAAAAAAACCTATAATCCAATTTTTAAATGGGCAACAGACTTGAATAGACATTTTCTAAAGAAGACATACAACTGGCCAATAGATACATGAAAAGGTATTCAACATCACTAGTCATCAGGGAAATGCAAGTCAAAACCACAATGAGGTGTCACCTCACACCCCTTAGGATGGCTGTTACCAAAAAGTCAAAAGATATCAAGGGTTGGCAAGAATGTGGAGGGAAGGGAACTTTTGTGCACTGCTGTGGGAAGCCAAATTGGTGCAGCCACTGTGGAAAACAGTACGGAGGAAGATCCTCAAAAATTCAAAATAGAACCAACAAATGGTCCAGCAATCCCACTCCTGGGTACATATCCAAAGGAAATGAAATTAGTGTCTTGAAGAGATATCAGCACATCCATGTTCACTGCAGCAGTATTCACAATAACCAAGATATGGAAACTAAATGTCCACTAAATGTCCTTCTGTGGGTGAATGGATCAAGAAAACACGGGGTACATATAAAAATGTGGAATATTAAAAATGGAAGGAACAAAACAGCAGCAGAATCACAAAACCCAAGAATGGACAAACAGTTACCAAAGGGAAAGGGACTGGGGAGGATGGGTGGGAAGGGAGGGAGAAGGAGGGGAAGAAGGGGGCCTTACAATTAGCATGTATAATGTTGGGGGGCACGGGGAGGGCTATGCAACACAGATAAGACAAGTAGTGATTTTACAGCATCTCACGACACTGATGGACAGTGACTAATGGGGTATGTGGGGGGGACTTGGTGAAGGGGGGAGTCTAGTAAACATAATGTTCCTCATGTAATTGTAGATAAACGATTCCAAAAAAAAAAAAAGGTGACCCACCAAAAAAAAAAAGTGGAATATTATTCAGCCATAAGAAAGAAGGAACTCTGCTATTTATGACAACATGGATGAGCCTGGAAAACATTATAGTAGGTGAAATTAGCCAGAGAAAGATGAATACTGTATGTATAGTATCATTTATGTGTGGAATCTGTTTTTTTTTAAGGTTGATTTCATAGAAATAGTGTAGAATAATGGTTACCAGAGGCTGGGAAGTGGGCAGAATGGGGAGCTGTTGGTCAAAAGCACAAACTTTCAGTTATAAGAGGAGTAAGTTCTGAGGACGGAACGTACAGCATGGTGACTATAGTTAATAGCACAGTATCAGGCAATGGGCAGTTGCTGAGAGTATCTCTTAAGCATTCTCACCACAAGACAGAAAAGAAAAAAAAAAGAATAACTATGTATAACTATGTAAGGTGATGAATGTGTAATCATTCCACAATATTATATGTATCGAATCATGTTGAATACTTTACATACATACAATTATATCTGTCGATTATTCCTCAATAAAGTGGAAGGGGGAAAGAAAAGAAGACCCAGAGTAAAAAAAAGATCAGAAGAGTATTAATATGAATTGAGTTTTTATGACACTAATAAGAAAATTAATTGCACTTGGAGCCTTGAAAAATAAAATAGTGGATGAAAACTCTCAAGACAGAGGGGGTGTAGGGTCTCTAAGGAGGGGCTGGTTTTCTAGGGCGTGGGTGGATTTCAGGATGGTAGGAACACCCATGATATCGGAAATCTGTAAGGAATTCAGGGCCTAACAAGAGTGGGGAGCCTGTGGCACATCACAGGAGACTTCAGAGGCTGCTGGGTATGCAGCTTAGGCTTAGAGACAATCAAATACTGCAAAAACCCCACTCTAACTGCTGAGATCCCAGGGCCAATCCTGGCTGCCCAGGGGCCTCCTCCTTTGGGGCCCCACTGCAGAGGCAGGAAGTACTGCCTGAGACTCAGCTTCCGCTCTGGGTGTTTTGGCACGGCCCAGCAGCCCCCCACTCCGGGGGCCTTCCCGCTGGGGGCCTGCAGCACTTTCACTTCCCCCAGGTGCCAGCTCCTGCCACAGAGCAAGATGCAAACTGCAAGTGAGGGGCAATGACCAGGTGGCAGGTTCGGGGAGATAAACAGAGGAAGGACAAGCATGCAGAGAGAGGGCCAGAAACCCAGCAAGGGTAGGTGTAGAGACCTGGGAACAGGGGTTGGGGGACATTGACCCAGAGAGAAAGGAACAGAGACCCAGAGAGAGGGGGACAGGAACCCAGAAAGAAGGGAAGAGAGACCCAGAGCGGGGAGGACAAGAGGCCCAGGGCCAGGAAAGGGGCACAGAGATAGATGCATAGATGTCCCAGCTTAGCAGGCGGTGAGGTCAGACTGTCTTGTCTACGATGTCAGCCGCTGTCCAGGGCTGCCCTAGGGTCCAGGTGCCCAGAGTAGATCAGAGGCCCTGTGGGTCCCCCAGCCTGAGCCATGGAGAGCTGAGAGGGACTACCTGGTGCGTCCTTGGTGTCAGCAAACTCCAAGGCCCCTCAGGTACTGGTATGTGGGTCCCAGTGGGGTAGGTGAGAGAGGCAGGGATAGAGGCACAGAAGAAAGGCAACTCGTGGGTAGAGGGAGGGGGTGGGGCTCCCCCCAGGGAACTTCCTCTTTCTCTGTGTTCTTCCTTTCTCCCTTTCTCTTGCGGGCTCGCTCTCTCTCTCTCTCCCTGTCTCACAGCCTGTTTTTCTGTCTGTCTCCCCCACTGCCAACACTTCTTCTGTCCTGACCCTCCCACTGATCGCTCGCCCTTCTAGGAGAAGATGTCGGCCCAGGACAGCTGCCTCAGCTTCACCAAGTACCTCCTCTTCGTTTTCAACCTCTTCTTCTTCGTGAGTCGCCTCATGGCTACCCAGACCGAGCCAGCCCAGCCTCCGCCACCGCCGCCCAACCTCACAGCCCCCTTTGCCCACCGCCACATTCTCACCTCCTCTCCCCAGGTTCTAGGCAGCCTGATTTTCTGCTTCGGCATCTGGATACTCATCGACAAGACCAGCTTCGTGTCCTTTGTGGGTGAGGGGGCTGGGGCAACTGGGGAGGGCCTACCTGGAGCGGGGGGCAGTACCCAGCCTCACTGGAAGCAACCTCCTGGAGTCTCACTTGTCGCAGGAAGGCCCAGGGTGCCCAACTCCCTAAGCAGGCCGCAGGCCCCAGGCCCCACCTCACGGCTCACCACTGCCGCACCTCTCTAAGCTGCAGCATCTGACAAATGCATTGTACATATGAATAGTAATTAATAATAATAATAATAGCCATTGCTCAGGTACTTCCTAGGTGTCAGATCTGGTGAAGGTGCATCAGGTCTTCCCACAAATCTTCCCCTCTCTCGAGGTTCAGAGAGAAGTCACTTAAGAGCAGATGTAACACTAATAATAACAGTAGGGAAATGGCCAAAATCCTAATAGCTCATATTTAATAAGTGTTTGGCCTGGGTTGAACACATGCCTCCCATGTGTTTCTCAAAACAACCCTAGGAACTAGGTATCATTGTTCCCTAGGCCTCCTGGAGGGTTAAGTGATTAATCTAAGGTCACCAAACAAAGGATGGGACTGAAACTACTGGGGGGAGGAGGAAAGAGACTGAGAAAAAGAGGGAGAGACAGTGACGAGGAAGAAAGAGGGACAGAGATCCAGAGAGAAGAGAACAGAGACCTAGAGGAAAGAAAGGGAAGGAGGCTCAGACGAGGACCTGAGCCCCAAGAGAGAGGCGGACAGAGAGTAGGAGAGGAGGAGAGACTCTCAGGAGAGGTACAGAGACTCAGTGTGGGGCAGAGCCAGAGACCCAGAGAAAGGGTGGGGGGGTATCAGGAGCCCAGAAAGAGGCTCCCCACTTGAGTGGCTGCATGGTTGGGGAACTGGGCTACCTGGAGCTGTGAACACGGGGCCCAATGTCACTGCTTCTCACCTCCCCCAGGCTTGTCCTTCATGCCCCTGCAGATCTGGTCCAAAGGCCTGGCCGTCTCTGGAATCCTCACCATGGGCCTTGCCCTCCTGGGCTGTGTGGGGGCCCTGAAGGAGCTACGCTGCCTCCTGGGCCTGGTGAGTGCCCCTCCCTCTCTCCCTCTCTAGGACTACTTATGCCAGCCTCAGATAGGGCCCTGGCAGCCCCTGCATCTTGGGGAGGGGCTCAGCCTGACCTCTCTACTCTGCCCCCAGTATTTTGGGATACTGCTGCTCCTGTTTGCCACGCAGATCACCCTGGGAATCCTCATCTCCACTCAGCGGATCCGGGTAGGCTTGCCTTCCCCCCCTCCAGCCCCAACCCCCGCAGCTAGTGGGTGGGGGTGGGAGGGGTGGGAGGGGGTGGAAAGACCCGGAAACGGGCAGACAGGGGCTGACACAGACAAAGAGAATAACGTAAGGAGGCAGAGGAAGACGGAAACAGACACAGACACTGAGACAGAGATGGCAGAGAGACACAGACAAGGAGATGGGGAGTCAGAAAAAGACCAACGCCGATGGAGGACGACAGGCACAGCAAGACAGCCATAGACACAAAGGGAAACAATATAAGAGAGGGGGAAAAAAACAACTCAGAGAAACAGAAAGTCTCCAAGGAAGAGATAAGAGACCTAATATGAGACCGTGAGAGAGAAAAGACACATGGTAGAAGCCGTCAGAGAGAGAAGTTCTAAGGAACAGACACATACCTAGCCAGACACTCGGGGAGGGACAGAAGGCCGACATAAATATGCTCAGGGACCCTTCGGGCAACTCCCCTGAGACAACTGGGGAGTGGCTGGAGTGGGCGGGGGCGGATGGAGGTGGGGACATGGGCGGGGGCCAGCCTCATTCTCAGCCTCTCAGCTGGAGCGGAGGGTGAAGGACATCGTGCTGCAGACGATCCAAATGTACCGCACAGACCCGGAGAAGACGGAGGCGGAGGAGAGCTGGGACTACGTGCAGTTCCAGGTGCGTGAGGCCCCGCCCACCCGGAAGTGCACCCCATCCCCCAGCTCTGCGACCCTGACGAGTCTCCGCCTTCTGCCTCGAGGAGACTCCGCCCCGACGAAACCGGGGGCCCCCAGCTCAGAGACCGTACAGAAACCTACCCACCCACCCCACCTCCTGCCGCGCTCAATGTGGCCCCGCCCCCAGGAGATAACAGTTCTGGCCCCAGTTGGCCCAGGCCCCGAGGTCCCCGACCCTGGAATGGCTTCGCCATCTGCTTTGACAAGACCCCAGCCCCAAGGCCCTAGCAAAATCCCACTCCCTGCCGGGTAGTGACTTTAACTCCCACCGGACTCGGCCCTCCGGACTCCATTCCCAGGTCATTCAGGTCCAGCCCTCCCATCCACCGGTCCCCTACCTGAGGCTGAATTGCACTGCCCACCCAATCTTCGGTCCTCCCCCAGCCCCAGTTGGCCCCTTAATTCGTCTCTCCCAGCCCCATGATCCCCTGATGTTCCCTGGCCCTGGCCCAACTCCAGCCCATCCCACTGTCCCCAACCCTACACCCAGCAGCACTTAGCCCTTTGCTCTCCACCATGACCTCATACCCATCACCCAGTCCCCTGACCCCACCAAAACCATCTTGCATCCCTCCAGTCTCGGTTCCTCTGACTCCTGTCCCTTTCCCAGCTGCGCTGTTGCGGCTGGAATTCTCCTCAGGACTGGTTCCATGTCCCCAGCCTGAGAAGCAACGAATCGGAGGTACCCCGCGTGCCCTGCTCCTGCTATAACTCATCGGCAACCAACGACTCTGCAGTCTTCGATATGATTTCCTTACCCCAGTTCAGCCGGCTCGGACCACCGGCGCGGCCCAGGCAAAATACAGACTTTTGCGTGGTCCCGGCAAACAGCTACATCTACCGAGAGGTGGGAAGGGTTTGGAGCAGGAGGGGTAGGTCGGCCTGGATGGGAGTGACCCCCCGGGAGGCAGGGCCGCAGAACATCAGGAATCTGCAAGTAGGCTGGGCTACGAGAATAACGGTACAGGGACGGAGCCCCGTAGAAGGGGCGGTGTCTGAAAGAAGGGCGGGGCCTAAAGAAAAGGCCTGGCTGAAAGGGCAGCACCTGGTTGGCTTGTACGGCGCAAAGGGGAGAGACTAGAGACTAGGGAAGCGAGCAAGGCCTGGAAGAGGAGTGTGAGGGATGGACCGTGAACCGTGGGCCCGGGCTTGAGGTCGAGTCAGAAAGAACCCTACCCGTAACTTTTCTTTACATACCCAGGGCTGCGCGCGGAACCTCCAGAAGTGGTTGCACAATAACCTCATCTCCATAGTGGGCATTTGTCTGGGCGTCGGTCTACTCGAGGTGATCTGGTCCCGCCCCCACTCGTGATTACCCCTGCAAGCCCTAGGAGGCCCCGCTCCACATTGTGCGTCTTCCCATTCTTGGGGAAAGGCACATGCGTGATAGGGTGTCAGCCAGACCAGGCCTTCTTACCACAACCTGGATTGGGGTAGACCTGAGCCCAGCCCCGTCGCACTCAGGAAGCAGGCGTCCGCGCGCCCTTCCTCGCCAGGCTCCCATTGGTCCTCCTTGGCGTCCCACCCTCCGTTACTGCAATAGCCCTCCCCTTGCCCCGCAGGTGAGTGTGGCGGGGCTGAGCCTGCTGCTGTCGCTCAGCGCTTTCCACCGGGAACCCCAGCCACAGGTGCCAGGCGCCTGCCGTTCGAGCCCCGCGAGCGCCGACGGTGGCCGCGGGCGCTGTGCTGTGCTGAGCAACTGCGGGCGTAGCGGCAGTCTGGGGGGTGGCTGGGGCATGGCAGATGCTGCCCCAACTGGGGAGACAAGGCCCAGCCGGGCAAACTGCCCATGGCCCTGGGGCTCTGGCCGCTTTGGGATCAAGACAAGGAACAGCCTGGGACTGAGAGCGTGGGTGCGGAGGTGGAGGCCGAAGAGGAGGGCCTCCGGAATAAAGGACCCTGGGCTTGCTCCGGATCTTACCCCTTCCCAGACTCCAGGCCTGCGCTAGACAAGCAGGATTCCCTCCACCCGACCCTGTTCCCCTTCCTGCTCCAATTCTGCTCCGACTCCTACCCTTTTACCCTTAACTCCACCACATCCTCCACCTCTCTCATCTTCCCCCAAACTCGTCCCTGCCCCCATCTTTCACGACCAGGCCTGGTTCTCCCTCTAGCCCCACTCACCTACCTACTCCGTCTCCCCTCCCGTGATCCCGCCCCGCCCAGCTCTCTGAGCCTTATTTTCTTCCCCAGGCCGGATCCCCTCACTTTTCTCCCTCTGGACTCCCACCCGCCCCCCTGGTCCCCTCTCGCCGGCAACCCCTCGACCTCTCTGACAGCGTCTCCTTTCTCCATAGCTCAGCTTCATGACGCTCTCGATATTCCTGTGCAGAAACCTGGACAAAGTCTTCGACAGACTCGCTCGGTACCGCTAGGCCCCGCGCTTCCCAAAGCCCCACCCCGACCCCTTCAAGGACCCTGGGCACTTCCCTGACGCTTGTAAATATTTGTTTAATCCCCGGTGAGCCCTCTGCCTCATTCTCTGGGGTGCCCAGGTGTCTGCCTGCCCCACTGCTGTCATCTCTCCCGCGGGACCTGGGTCTTCCGGCCACCAGCTTCCTTCCCCCAAATAAACTTCATTTCCCTGTCTCCATCTGACAGCCTACTACCTCCCACGAAAAATTATTCTATTGCCCAAACCCCAAATAAATCCCCTGCGTTTTGGTAAAATAGCTTTATCCTCTGTCAAAACACAAACCAACACACTTTGGAGGGAAGGGGGGGAAGGGACGCAACACAGTCTAGACCACCGCTCATTTGGAAGACAAGGAGATGAAAGAGCCTCACCCCACTGCTTGCCCAGCTGAGAAAAAGTCATGACCCTAACACCCACTTATAAATATCTCTTGTTATATTAAAAAAAAAATATTTCCAGGGCCCATTTGGCTCTGCTTCTGCACAGAAAGGGTTAACCTTCAATATTCAGTTGCAGGGTCAGAGGATGGAGGTGGTGAGAGGCAGACTGGGGTGGGGTGGGGGGATGAAGAGCAAGAAAGGAACAAGCCCATGTGTAAGCAGAGCCCTCCAAAACACCTAGAACAGAGTCGGGGTGGGGGAGGTTCCCTTGTAGAGACAGAGAAACCAGTGCCGTAACTCAGGATGTCTCACTCCTGTCCCCAGTTCCTGATGCTCTGGAGGGATCTGTCCTTTCAGACGCCCCTGTGAGGTCCATCCTTTCCTCTCATTTAACTCACTACCCAGCTTGTAAGGTCCACTCTAACAGGGAGCAGCCCCCTCCCCAAATAAGAAGCATGAGAGAAGCTTCAGGTCCTTCCTGGGAGGAGGGTATTCTGGGGGTGAGCCACTTTTGGGGTCCCCCCTCAGTCCCTGACCAGGCGGTAAATGTGGTGCTGGGCCCCCCGCTCACTGGTGGAGACCTCAAAGACGTAGGCGGTGCAGAGCAGCAGCTCCTGGGTGTCTCTGTTTGTCACCACCTGCCAAGGAGGTCACAAGAAGGGTTTATGCTTGGAAGGGAGAGAAGGGACCACTGAGCTCTCCTCCCAAGGTATCGAGGAATACCCAGGAAAGGGGTCCCCACTGTGCCACCTTCCCCAGGTAGAGCAGGTGCCCAATGTTATCAGGTTTCCCATATGAGGGTCGGCATTAGGGGCTTCATATCAGATGGCATATCATGGTACAAGGTCAAGGGGGTCCCCACCACATCACATTGCCCTGGTAAAAGGGGTCCCCACCTCAGCACATTCCCCGCTATTAAAGGGCATCCCACTATATCATGTTCCCTGGGCTGTGGCTGGGTTCCCTGTGAAAGGATCCCCTAAGCTGACGATCCACTGGGGAGTGTTCTCCAGGTCAGTTTCCCCATGAAAGGGGGATCCCCACGACATCAGTTCCCTGGATAAAGGGGTATTTCCTAAGCAAAGGGTCCACTGTGGGGTCCCCACTGTGTTCGTTCCCCATGAAAGTGTCCCCGGGCTGAAGGGGTGTTGTGGGCGCTCCCCACCACATCAGGGCCCCTGCTGCGGCTCAATCCCAGCACATCACCTGAAGGATGGTGAAGTTCTCCAGGACGCTGTTCATCATATAGCGCTCAGGCAGCTGCCGCAGCTTGTGCAAGAAATTCACCAGGTACTCGCACATGGGCGAGCGCAGCAAGCGGTACACGAACCTCCCGTCCTCCAGCTGGGCACGCTCCGTCTGAACCAGGGGGTGTGGAGTGAGGAGACACAGGGTCCATCCCAGGAAGAGCCCCACTCCGTGCCTCTCAGATGCCACACCCACTCCCCACTGCGATTGCTCCAACCACAGTGACCAGGGGTGGGACTCTGAACCCTCAAGTACCCAACCCCAACCACCAAGCCTGCAAACCAGGGACCCCTCCAGCCTCTCAAAGCTAGGCTCTGAACCCTCAACAACCTCTGAACTCTGACCTCCAGGCCCTCAGATTCCCCCAAACCATCCAAAGACCTCTCCATGACACTCCTGTACCTCCTTGCACTGTGGACTCCTCCATATCCATAAGAACCTTTTGAATCTTAGTGATTCTTTATCTCTGGCCCACACATGACCCTTGAACCGTCAAAGTGACCCCTACATGAGTCTGAATCTCCATGTTAACTCAAAGCCCATGCATTAAACCTCCAAAGAGGCTGGAACACCCCCACCCCACCATGCAGACACCACGTGCCTGAGATATTATGGCTACTGGTCTGTTTAATCTGCACCCCCAAAGTGGCAGGTGGCCGAGCGCTCACCTGCTCAGTGGTCCACCCCTCCAGCCTCACCTCCACCTTCTCCACCACCTGCTTGCCAAAGGAGCAGACCTTGGAGGAACAGGTTAGGGTCATGTGCTCCAGGCTCTCGTACTGGCTGCTCACTCCGTAGAAACCGCCACTGCTGCCACTGGCCCCCACCTCCTCACCACTCGGACCCCAGTTCAGGTCCGCCTGAGGAAAGGGGAGGCATGGTAAGTTGCAGGGGACATCCCTTATAAAGGGTAGGGACTCTTCTAAGTGGGGACTGGTCTGTCCCATTGCCCTGCAGTTGCCCGCCTCTCTTCCTCAGTGTTCTAGGCCCCACCCTCTCCATGGGCTGGTTTCTGGAGAAGACCCACCTATCCATCAGTGTTGAAGTATGGGTCCCCAAAATGATCCTGATCCTCTCTTCCCATTAATGCCTCCCCCACCAAAGGAGCCCTAGAATTCAATTTTCTTCTCCTGAAGCCCTCAACTCGGGAGTACAGCCCCTTCCAAGGGCCTGGTTCCAAAGGAGGTCGCTAGCACCGAAGTCTCTCCCTCAGCACCCTTTACAACCCTGGTTGCTAAGGCAAATGGCTACTCTAGCAACAGGGCCTGGTAGAGCCTGGGGAAGCCTGACTCCTTGCCTGAGCTTTGCCTGGGCCCTTTCAGTGGGTCCTCAGAGGTCAGGGCCCTCCATAACCCTAGTGGCCAAGTGAGAAGATAGTCCCTGAAGCCAAGACATCACACCTGTGGTCCGAGCCTCTTTCTCTTCTTCCTAACTTTAGTTGCTAAACTGACCAGTTACTCCCTGGAGTGGCTTAGTCCTCTCCTCACAGGCCTGACTCCATCCGTCCGTCACTCCTGCAACAGGACCTTCCCAGCTTCGGTTACCTAAGGGTGGCTCTCCAGACCTGAGACCTGGTGAGGCCTGTCTTAAATCCTAACGATGCCCATGACCTCAGCAGCACCTTCCCAGAGCGGTCGTAGGCCTCCAATTCACACACTGGAACACTTCATACCTGTGGTGGCTACAGGCCCAGGAAGGCCAGTAAACTTCAAGCCCTCAGCAGCCTTCCTTCTCAGAGACTAGATCCCACCATGGCCCTAGTTACCACAAGGGTTAATATCCCCGAAACATTCACAACATTTACATTGGTCCCCGGTTGCACTGGTCATTGTATTGGACACCAAACCACAAAGGCATAAGGAAAAAAAAAAAAGCAAAGATGGGCCCTCTCATTCACAATTATATACATAGCACTTGGCATAGGGCCAATATACAGTAAGTGCTCAATAAATGGTTGTTAGATACAGGATTTCACAGAGCCCCTCCCAGGTCTTTCAGTCACTGCCTTAATACCAGACAATCTCTAGCAAGAGGGTCTGGTGAAACAGGAAAGCTTCGTCCTCTCTGTAGAGGCCAAACTGTCCACAACTCCATTTGCGACAGGAGGGGCCCATTCCTTAGCCACAGGCTCAGGGTGGTAGGCGGAGTGTTGGGAAGTCTGAAATGTGGCAAGGCACTCCCCGGGGCCATATCAATCACATACCTGGGGATGGCAGAGACTAACAGGACCTGGGGAGTCAGGGTCCTACCCCTATGCCTGCAAGCCCACACCTGTCTTACCCATTCCAAGCCAGGGGCAAATTCCATGACGCTCCTTGTTGGAAAGGGGGCTGACACTCCGAGCCATGAAGACTGCTAAGGCCCAGGCTGACCTGGCAGGTGCGGGGACTCTCTCCCGTAGATCCAGAGGCCTCTTCTGGGAGGCCATGGGCTTCAGGAGCACTTTTGTTTTAGGTGGGGAACTCACCCAGAACTTGACCAGGAAGAAGGCGTGTGGCGGCCCGCGATCATACAACTCCCGCAGACCACCTTTTTTCTCAGGGAATTTGTCATAGATCTGCCGAACATCCACGCTCTCGAGGGGGGGCGCTCCAGGGCTAGGGCAGTGCTGGCTGATGTGTACGAAGAGATGCCTCTGGTACTGAAGGGGGTCAGCCGTGGGTGAAGGGTAGGAGATGGGCCCCATCCCACGCCCTTGCCACCCCACAGGTCCTGCTAGCTGTGCTACACTTTCTACCCAAATCCCAGGCCTGGCACGGTCCCCACTCCCTTCTGCCCCTTCCCTCCCACAGTACTTCAGCCCCCAAGCCTTGTCCCTACTGTCCCAACTCTCTGTGCAGTCCCCTGCTCCCCATTCCCACAGCCCTGTCCTCTCTTACCCTCACCCCAGCCTCCTCCCTGGCCTCCCAGCCTCCAGCCTCTCCTCTCCAGTTCATGGCTCACGTGGTTCCAAAGCTGACCCTGGTCCTCCCTCCCTCACAATCCTCCCAAGCTCTCCAGAGCCCCCAGGTGAAAGCCCACACACCCCCAACCTGGCCCTTTTTGGATAGGTGGTATTCATGAATGTTTGATCAATGGATGGATGGACGGGAATCCACACTGCCCACATCAAGTCTCCCTATCTGTCCCCATTCTTACCACTTCTTGTCCATATCCTGAAAATCTTCCCCATCTTCTCAATTCTCCCTCCATCTCTCAAGGCCCAAGTTCATGAAATATGCCTCTCCCTGGAAACCTCCCTTGATCACAATCAGTTGGGATCTCTCTAGCCCACCTTTTCAGTGGTTCCCCACCACCTTCAGGATAAAGTCTGGGTCCTTCAGCTTGGCAATTCCAGCTCCTTCAGAACTGACACCTACCCACCTATCTTCAGACTCACCAGCTCCCACCATATATGATTATTTCCCTGAAAACTTCATGCTATTTCCATGTCTGTATCTTAAACATCCAGTTCTGCCATGGCAAACTCCTATATAACCCTCACAGCCCAACTCCAATATTGTTATCTCAGGGAAGCCTTCAGTGACTTCTCAGGCAGATAGACTCCTCTGTATACCCACAAAAACTTGAGTTTCCTCTATCCCAGCACTCACTCACTATTCAACAACATCTTTCCAGAAACCCACTGTGTGCCGGCACTATTCTGGGCTTCAGGGCTACAAGGTCAAGTCCTGACTTTATGGAGTGCATAGTCTACTGGCAGAGACAAATTTTTCAAAATCATCCCATGAATAATATAAATGTCAGAGAGAGTGATGTATGCTGTGAAAAATATCCTAATAAAATATAGTGAGAGCATCAAGAATGATGGCAGCTGCTATTTTCCATAAGGTGGTTTGGGAAAGCCAATCTGAGAAGATAATCATGCAAAGGCCTGAATGAATGGAGGGAGAGACTGGGGATATCTGGGAAAACACATTTCAGCAGGGGGAACAGCAGATGCAAATGCCGTGAGGTGGAAGTGAGTCTGGTATGTTTGGGAAAGAACATGGAGGCCAGTGTGGCTACAGCAGAGTGAGCAAGGGTATAAGGGTGAGAGGTGGGCAGAGTAGGAACGGAGTCAGGTCATGCAGAGTGTTGGGGGCAACTGAAAGAACTGTAGTTTTTTCTCCAAGTGAGAAAGAAGGGTTTTAACCTAGTCTGACTTGGGTTTTACTAGGATAGCACACACAGCAATTGGAGTTTATGTGGCTGTGGCAGAGCCTGCTTTGTGTTCACAAACCCCAGTTCATTTTCACACAGCTAAACTACATTTCCCAGGCTTCTTTGTGGTTAGGCATGACCATATGACTAAGTTCTGAGCCGAACCTGACAGTTGCCACTTACAAGCCAGACCCAGAAAACCTCCTGCACAATTTTTGACTCTCTCTGACTTCCACCATCTGCCAACCAGATGCAGAGAATCCACCAGCAGATTCTGAAGCCCTGGAAATGGCAGAGCCACAAAATGGAAGGAGCCTGGATTCCCCAAGTCACTGGATAAAAGGCTTCTGCTGAGCACCCACTTTGAACCTAAGTGAGACCCTTCTATATTGTTCAGTCCCTGAGTACAGGGGTTGTTTCTTCTAATAGTCAGCCCACCCTGACTAACATGGCCTGTATTCTCCATCCTAGGCCGGGAAAACCTCAAGCCTAGAAGCAAATCTGCTTTTCTGGGTTCCTGGTATCTACCACAAAGCCTGGCACACAGTAGGCACTCAACAATGTTTGTTGAATGAACAAACGATGTCCTGGGGAGTTGCTCTGACCTTTTCACACCATGACCCCACGACCTTCTAGTTCCTTTATACTAGTAGTTCTCAATGTGTGGTCCCTAGACCAGCAGCATCAGCGTTACCTGGGGGCTTTTTAGAAATGCAAATTTCTACTGCACCAGACCTACTGAATCAGGAATTCTGAGGTTAGAGCCCAGCAATCTGTTTTAACAAGCTTCCACGTTACTCTAATACACACTAAAGTTTGAGAACCACTGCTTTACCCTTTCCCTTCTATGACCCTCTACATTCCAAAACCCTCCAGTGCCTACCCCAAAATCACACTCACAGAGTCAGCTGCATCTGGCGGTTCCACAAAGGCCGAGAACTCCACCAGCTGCAACCGAGCAGTGCCCAGAGCCCGAGCCTGCCAGGCTGGAGGTGATGGGGCAGGTGGGGGCAATGCAGAGGGGGAGAGGGCTTGTGGGGGCTCGTACCCTAGAGAGAGAAAAGAATGAACAATAAAAATTGCTAACATTCATTGAATATATCAAGCACTGTTCTCTCTTGCCTGCCTCTGCTTAGAAGCTAAAAAAGCTAAATACTCACTTTCCCAGCCTCCCTTGCAGCTAGAGGTGGCCATGTGACACAGTCCTGGCCAATGAGACGTTAGGGAAAATCTGCTGGGGGGCTCCTGGGAAGGAGTTTCTTCCTGAATGAAAAAGACAGAACTTTGGGAGGAGAAAGCTTTTGGCCCTGGCCAAGTCCTGCTTGGGACGTGCTGCCTAGAGTCACAATAACCATATTGGGATAATAAGATAAGAGGCCAAGGGACCTATAGAGATGCCAGGCCCTGATACTGCTGAGCTGCTGAGCCAGCACAGGAGCAGCCCACCTCCAGACCTTTTGTTATATGGAATAATTAAAGCCTTTAATATTAAAGGCACTCTAAATTGGGTATTCTGTTATTTGCAGCCAAAAGCAGTCCTAATTGATGAATCTGTGGAACCTGAAAGCTCTCTTTCACCAATGTGAGTTCTTATGACCACATCAGCATGGACTTCCAGAAGCCATCTTTGCTGCCAGGTGGGCAGAGCCTGCCTGGCAATGAAGCCAGCACAGAGGAAAGCAAAAACAAGCAAGTCCAGACACTACCATTTGAGCCCCTGGATCCAGCCATGCCTGAAGCCGTGACTCCTGAAATATCAGTTACCTGAAATCAACAAATTGTTGTCTTGTCATCTGGCTTGGTTTGGGTTTGTCACCTGTGACTGAACAAATCATGACTCCCCCAGTGTCCTTTTAGCTAGCAAGTGGCAGAACACAAACCCAGTGTGCCTGGCTACAGAGGCCATACTCTTAAACACTGCAGATTCTGCCACTCATCTTTCTAGACTTCCACAAGCCTTGCCTCAGAGCTGGACCTCAATAGGAATGCATCCCCTGATTAGAAGGAAGGAAAGGTACTTGGAGTTGAGGAAAAAGGGGAAAAGAGGGAGGTGAGCAGGGGCTTACCTGGGAGGTCAGTAGATGGAGGAGTCAGTGACAAGGAGAACGGTGTCTGTGAGAATGGCTTCACACTGAGGGAGAAAAGAAGCTGGGGGTCAGCAAGACGGGAAGATACTAATCGTACCAGCTAACATTTACTGAGAGGCCACAAGCCAGACTCTGCTCTAGCACATGCAAAATTTCATGTCATTTCAAAAGCCTCTCAGCCTCTGAGATAGGTGTGATTATTGCTCTTTTGTTTTGCACAGGAAGAGACTGAGGCACACAGAGGTCAACTGACCCACCCAGAGTCACACAGCTGGAACACGGCAGAGCCCGGCCTCAAACCCAGGTCAGTCCCAACTCAAAGCCTGTGGGATTGATGATGACAATTTGGTACCTGTCACAAAATCGCAGAAAAAGAAGAGAAACTGGGTCTCGAGAGGTGGGTCAAAAACACAAAGAATCAGAAATGTGGAAAAAGAGGAGGCTGAAAGGTCTGGAGGGGGGGAGAAAACCACCAGAGGTCAGGAGATGGGACATCAGGACAAAGTTCGGGGTGGGGAGGCAGTACAACCAAATCTAAAGCAGTGCCATCCAATAGAACTTTCTGCGATGAGGGAAATGTTCCATATCTGTGCCGTCTAGGATAGTAGTTACTGGCCACATGTGGCTAGTGAGCAAATGACTTGTTGACTACTGAGCACAAATGTGGCTAGAGTGCCTGAGCAACTGAATTTTTAATTTTATTTAATTGTAACTAACTTAAATTTCAGTAACTGCCCACGGCTGGTGGCTATAGTAGCCCAGAGCACCGCTCCACAAGCCAATGACCTATGGGTAGTCCAGAAGCTGGTGGTGAGGAGACAGAGGTCAGAGGTTAGGGAGACAGGACTTGGTGTCAGAGGTCAGGAAGTCAAGAATCAAGAGACCAGGAGCAGAAAGACACAAACTCCATGGACCTTCACATCTCAACTCCCAGGGACCTTGACCTAGTACCACTCGAGTACCCTACTCACCAACTTTACTGAAGGGCCACAAGTTTAGTTGAAATCTAAACTCCAGTGCCCTACTCACCAACTTAATCTCTTGTCATTAGGGCCAGTGCTCAAATGCCACCTCCTCAGAGGTGTCCTTTCCTGACCCTTGCCTAACAGAGCATATACATTTCACCTTATCTCCTACAATTATTTCTTTCTTATTAACTTATTTGTTTACACATTTATCATTGATCTCCTTTCCTCTCTAAGAATGTAGCTCCATGAAGACAGGGATTCTGCCTAACTTGTTCAATGCTGTGTCCCCAAACCAAGCAGAGTACCAGGCACTTAATAGGTGCTCAATAAACATCTGACCAACTGGCCAATGGCTTCATACTGACCCTTTTTTGGTTCCTGGGACTCACCAACCTCAGGGCCTTGGCACATGCTGTGTCCTCAGCTTAAAACAAGTTTTCACCTGGCTAAGTCCTACTCAACTTCCAAAGTTACCTCCTCGAAGAAAACCCCAGAACTTTCTCCCTCACCCCAAAACCTGTTATGTTCTTCACACCACACCACACACTTTGATTTATTTTTATTCAGTGATGATTTCATTAACATCTGTTTCCCTGATTTGACTATCAGTTCCATAAAAGGTGGGATCCCATCACCCTAAGCAGTGCTTCCGGCTCAGCCCCCTGCAAACCTGCAGTTCCTTTGGCCCCAGGCCTTGTTCTCACCCTTTTCTGTGTCCCCATCCAGCAGTTCCCCATGAACTTTCTTGTTTCCCAGCCTGGCTCCCAAGGTCGCTTACTCTTTCTCTGTCAACATCCTCAACATTCCTGCCTCGCTGTCCTATGGCCACACTGCCCTACCAACACCCAGCCCAGATCCACTGGCTCCTCTCTGGGCTAAAAGTACACTTCCCATGAGCCACTGGGGTCTGTCGCACCCTGTCACCCTCAGGGCTCTCAGAGCTGAAAAGGACACTCCCATGTAGCTCTGGGACTCATTTTCTTCCTTTTGACTCTCAGAGAAGATAAGATAGCTGCTCTACCCTCAGGCCCAAGAACACCTTTATGGGTGAGAATAAGCCTTCCCATGAGCCTCTGGGACCCAGGTAATCTCCCCAGATCTGGGCATCCTCCAGGCCCCTCACATTCATCAAGCCCCCAGCTGAGCTTGTTTCCTTCCCAAGCTTGCTCCTCCTCCAGGTTGCGAATTTCCAGACTGTCCCACCAGTACCAGCCACCAGCCACCAGCCAACCCAAGGAATTGTCCTTGTCTCCTCCCTCCTCAGCCCCCAGCCACGTCCCTCCTCCTCCTGCCCCTGTCCCAAGCCCTCCTCACTATCCCAGCTCAGAACCAGTCCTCTTCTCCAGACCATTGCCCCAGCCTCCCCTCTGGGATTTGGGAGCTGGAAGGTGGATAAGAAAGGTCTATGGTGGGGAAAATGGAGGCTGAGGGGGCAGGTGCTGAGCCAGAACAGAAAGTACTCACTCTGGAACATTCCAGGGGGGCCCTGAGCCCCCGGACCAAAACTGGAAAAGCTCAGAGGCCTGGAGAAGAGACAAAGAAGTGGGTGTCAGTCAGTCCCCTGTCAAAGCCACAGTCCCACACTTCCAGCCCTGAGCCCCAAAATCCCCAACCCAGGCCACCTGAGGACCAGCAGGACCCAGTTTGGCCTGCAGGGAAGGTGCTGAGATGAGCTGGGCCGAGGACATGGTGGCCATTGTCTGGAAAGCCTTATCCTTGGAAACCTGGTCCTAGAGGACAAGTTGGAGGTCAGTATTAATGGGGAGACCCAGTCGGCACAGAAGGATGAGGCAACGAGGGGTAGGGCAAGTGTGGGGAGATGCAGACTTGGGGAGTCAAAAGCAAAGGGTTGGGGGAGGGCCCAAATCCCTCTCGCTACAGCACCCTGCCCCTCCTGAGCTCCTAAGGAATGTCTGGAGTAAGGGAGCAGGAGAGGGCATGGGCAGGGGGACTTACCACATTCAGGGCCTGCCCGTGGGGGTGGGGAAGGGTGCCAAAGGAGGAAAGAAAACACGACTTAGGAAGTGAGGCCTGGACACCCCTACCTTCCTGCCCTCCCGACCCCTACAGCCCCATCACCCAGAGCTGAGCAACAGGAGGAAAAGGTAGCAAGGATGAACATGGAACAGGAAGTAGAGGGGGCCAGGGGTTCCCGTGCCCAGAATGAAAGACAGTAATGAGAGTTTCTAGGTCAAGAAAGAGCCGGAAATGAAGGTTTCCGGATTCACGGGCAACAGGAAATGAGAATTTCAGACCCAAGGGGAATAGGCAGTAAACATTTCCAAGTCAGGACTGAGTGGTGACGAGGTCCAGAAGGGACTGGAAATGAAGGTTTTTGACCTAGAGGGGAAGCTTCCAGGTATAAAAAAAGGAACAGGAAGTTATGGTCCCCAAATCCAAAGGAAGAGGCAGAAAAGGCCCCGCACCTGGAGAGGCAGAAAACGAAGGTCTCAGGCCAAGAAGGAGCAGGAAGTCCAGAGATGAAGAGAAAAAAAAAATCTCCAAAAGGAAATAAAAGATTTCTGGGCCCAGAAAGAGCAGGCAGGCTACACAGGGAACAGGCAATAGGAAGATGAGCCAGGATGTGAAGAGAAGATCCTCACAGCACAAGAGGGAGAGGCCATAAGGACACCAAGAAGGGCGAAAGGAGGGACAGGAGGCAGGGAGACAGCAGCACCCCAAGGAGAGGCCAGCACCCCATCCTTCCTCCCTGCACTAAATGAAATCTGTGTCCCCCTCTCCCTGTCCAGGGCTTCTATCCACTCCTCATGCTGGGCCACTAAACCCCAGTCTTGGGTCTCTGCTTCCTGTCTATCTATCCCTCTGTGTGACTCTGTCCTCATCTCTGGGTCTCTGTCCCCTCCCCCCAGGTCTCAACCCCCTCTCTTGGGGTCCCTGTCCTGACCCTCTCTTTGGGTTTCTGCCCCCCTCTCTCTGGGTCCCTGACTCCCTCTCTCGGGGTCTCTGTTCCCCTCTTGGTGTCTGTCCCCGTTTCAGTGTGTCTGCCTTGGTCCCTACCTTGAGCTTGGACTGGATTTCCCTCGATTTCCTTCGAGCCAAAACTTGGATGTGACTAGAGACCTAGAGGAAGTGACAAAGAAGCACATTCAGTGCACAGCCTCTCGCCTCTTTTGTCCCCTACCCCTGCCCTCCCCCAGGTGCCCCACAGAGCTGCTGAAACATTAAAGATGACAAACACACAGAACATGCGGGCTGTCTCAGGAGCACGCCAACCCAGGAGAGTCCATAAAGGCCACTCTCTTCTCACTGACGCTACTGACCCTCCCCAGACGCAGCAAATCCAGATCTCCTTTTCCTTCTCCACCCTTGTCTTTTGGGCTCTTTTGGCTTCTCTTACTCTCTGGTTCTAACACAGCTGCTAAGAGAGCTATACCAAAATAGGCAGAGTCAGAGCACATGAGCACAGGCACCAAGCAGACAGACAAAAGCACCTGGACCGGATCCTCCTCGAGCCTGGACCTGCCCATACCAGGACAGCCCCAAGAAGACAAGCCCACCCCAGACAGAAGCCCACACATCAGTCCTGAGACCTGTTTTCGAGTTCGGGTCTTCCCCGTTCTCAGCTTGATGTAGCGGGCAATCAGTTCATTCCGACCTGGAGAGTCAAAGATGGAACAAAGTTAGACCTTCAGCAGAACTTCCCAATGGAGAAGACACTGGGGAAGAAGAGAGATGCAATGGTTTCCAGATCTGCAGCAAGCTGGGCCACAGGCCTCCTCAGTTATAAGAGGGAGGAGTTAAGACCACAGGCTTTGGAGCCAGACGCCTGGGTTCAAATCCCAGCTCCACCACATACTAGGCTCTGTGACCTTAGGCAAATCACTTAACCTTTCTGTGCCCCAGTTTTCTCATCTGTACAAGTGGTGATACTAGCTCTTACCCGGGTCACTGTGAGACTACTATGTGCTTTTATGTTAACAGTGTTTAGAGCTTCATGATGTGAGTCATTATTCTCATTAATCAGTTGGCCCCAGGCCAAGAGAGAGGGGTACACTCACCATACATCTTGCCTTCATCAGACAGGATGATTTTCCGCCGGCCGCAGGGCGGGTAAATGGCCAGGGCCTCCTGGAAGCTCTGCTCGATGTCCGGACTCCAGACACCCTCTGCGTCTGGGCCTCCATCTCCCCCAGCCCCCTCACTGCCGCCAGTGCCCTCCTCACTTCCTTCCTCAGTTCCTGTCCAGCCGCTGCCATCATCCAGGGGGGCCCCAGCCCGGGGTTCCCCCATCTGGGCCTGGAAGAACAGGGAGCTCAGCAAGGTTACCCCAGGCAACCCAGAGAGGCTTCAGGGCTGTGAGGGTGGGAATGCTGGGGAGGGAGAGGGCTGGGGACCCGGACCCGTGGGGGTGAGGGAGGAAAGGCTGGGGTCCTGGAGTCCTGTATCTGAGGGAAGCAGGAAACTGGAGGCCGGGACTCCCGGATCCTGGAGAAGAGGGCTGAGTTTCTGGGGAAGCTTAGGGTGAGTGTTCTCTGCGTTGCCAGGGGGCCTGGGTTGTGATGAAGTCCTAAAGACCCCAGAGCAATGCCTAGGGCCCATGAGGGCTGAACTTTTGGGTATGGAATACAGGTTTAAATAAGACAGGCGTCAGGGCCTAGTTACAGGGAAGGGGGGTGTGGGTGAGATCTCAGCCACACCCCAAGAACAGGTGCTAGGATGTGAGCAGCAGCTGCTAGAAAAGGAGGAGGAGCACAGGCCCTAGTAAGGCTGAGGGTGACCAGACAAGAGGGGGACAGAGACTCGGAGAAAGAGTCCCAGAGAGAGGGGAACAGACCCAGAGAGAGGGGAGACAGAGACTAAGGGCAGAAACTCAAGCCGAGACCAGGAAAGACCCAGAGAACCACAGACATGGGGGGCAGGGACACCCTGCCGTCAGCAGAGCCAGAACAAAGGGCACAGGCATCCCCTCCCCCACTTTCCCACAACCCCCATCAGGGGAGGGGCTGGCCGGCGAGGGCGCCACCCCTCCAGGCCCCGGCCCCGCCCCTTCCTTCCCCTCCCCCTGCACCGTGGGCTTGGATCCAACTCAAGTTCCCAGTGACTTTCCGGAGGCCGGGAACAGGGAAAAACTTTTTCCAATACAGTCAGATCCCGCCTCCCTGGCGGTTCCACGTCCTCCACAGCTTTCCCAGGACCCCAGAGTCCAGGCCCCCGACCCCCTCCTCCCTCGGACCCTGGAGCTCCGGCCGAGACAAAGACCCCAGGCCGAGCCCGGTGGCGCTGAGGCGTTCAGGACCCCCGTAGGCCAAAATCCCAACCCAGCTCTCCCCCATGTGGTCAGACAAAGGCACGGAGAAACCGGGTAAGAAAGGTCCCCCCTAATTTCCCGCCCCAGGCCTCACACCTTCAGAGAAACAAGACTAAAGATCCTAAAATCACCGTAGCCCCCGCCCTCTGCCACCCCGGAGGCCTCCTTTCTCCATTAGGAGGGCCAGGCGCCCATAAACGACACACAAACCAATTCGGTCAGAAACACGCATGGGGTCCTTGCTCACTTCAGATGGACACCGCTGCAGACACTCACGCCCCCCGCCCACACCCGCCAAAGTCCTCAGCGTTCACTCACTCCGAGGGGCACTTCCCAAACTCAGACCCATCAACAGGCACCCCAACTCCGGCGAAAGTTCCAACTCTACACCTAGGCTCGGTAGCGGGCGCAAACTCGGGCCCCCGGGCAAAAAGAGGACGACACGCAGTTCAGAGACTGTCCCACAAACACCTCAACCCATAACGCGTAATTTCCCACCCCAACTCACACACCCCAAAGCAGGATCCCCGACTCCCGCCGGCGCCTTCCTACCTCCCGGCCTGGGGCTGGGGAGCCGCGGGCGGGCGGGGCGCAGCGAGGGAGAAAGTTGCCCGGGAGCTTTGTTTGGGAAAAGTGGGAGGGACCAGAGGGGGGGCGGGCCCCGGCGCCGGACAGCGGGAAGGGAATCAGACGGTGACAGTTTGGGGGAGGATTTTTATTTTATTAAAGGAAAGGTGAAGTGTAGCTGGGGCCTTATAGGAACTTCAGGACCTCAGTGCCGGGATCCTTGAGAGAGGAGGGGGGTTGGGGGCCCGGTCCCTAGCTCTGGGGGAAGAGGGGGCTTGGGACCCGGCCGCCTGGGTCTGAGGGAAGAGGACTGAGACCTGGGCTGCTGGGTCTGAGGGAGGAGGGAATGGGGGCCTAGATTCCTGGGTCTGAGAGAGGAGGGGGCTGGGAACCAAGATTCCTGAGTGTGGAGAAGGAGGCGGCTGGGGGCCTGAGCTCCTGGCTTCCTTCTAGTGTTGTGTGTCGGGTTGTGGAAGTGATACGGAGTCCGGACTCTGAGGTCCTGAGGACGAAGGGAGCCTTTCTGGTTTCCTTGGAAGGTGGAACAGAGGACTGGATTTAGGGTTTCCGTAGAGGAAAGGGCTTTTTAGTGGAACCGAAGAGAGCTCCGGTTCAGCTTCCCGACATTATCCTCGGCCGAGTGAATTAACCATTTCAAACCCTGAGGAGGAGAAGGGACACGGAGAAACTCTCAAAGACAAACGCAAAACTAAGAAGTAGAGCAGAGGAAGCCTAAGAATGGAACTGAGGGAGCTGCGGGAAAGATCTGTGGCATAGAGGCGTGGCCCAGGTGCGAGGGTGTGGCTCTAGGTCAAGGGGCGTGGCCATCTGAGATTTGAGCCGGACTGCTGCGCGAGGCCACGATCTGAGACTACAGGACCCCCAGAGCAGAGGTCACCCAACAGGGGCGTGGTCTGATGACGGGCGGGTGGTGTGGCCTTAGAAAGACCTCGCGGCTCTGATTTAGGGGGCGTGGTTATCGAAGAATAGAGGCGTGCCTGCGCCCTTCGGGGCGTGGCCATCCAATAGAGGGCCCGGCTCGTGGGTGAGGTCACAGATGGGCGTGGTGAGGCAATAGGGGCAAGGCTAGGGCTCGCGGAGCCCCTCCAACGCTCCAGGTAGCCATTCTGGCTCGAGACCGGAACTGTTTGGATCTAACAGTCTGTGGACGGCCGGAGTCTGAGAGTCCGACGTCCGGTCTGTGGTCTAGCATAAAGGCGAAGCCCAGAGAAGGGGCAGGGCGTGGGAGAAGGTGAGAAGTGAGATCTGGCTGTGAATGTGGGCGAAGGAGAGGAATGAGATTAGCACTTGAGGCAGAGCCCAGAAGAACCGGGTTTAGGAGAGAGGCCTGACACAGAGGAGGAGGGAGGAGTAGTAGGAAAGGGGAGATTGGAAATGGGCGGGGTGCGAGGGTTTGCCTGGGCAAGGGGTAAGAAAGAGTGATTGTCTTGGGTGGGGCCGAGGGCTCTGACCTCTATCCTTGCCACAGCCTCCCGGCCCGCCCCGAAATGTGGCACCCTCTGATCCTGCTACTGCTGCTCCCCTCTGCCTTGGTGCCCCCCTCCACTGCTGCCCCTATCCGAGATGATGACACCCATGAGAGTTCCTCAGGTTTTCTAGGCCTCCAGAGCCTACTTCAAGGCTTCACCCGGCTTTTCCTGAAAGTGAGCGATGGCAGGGGGTGAGAAAAGAGAGACGTGGGCAGATGGCGACTGAGGAAGGGGAGGGGTTCAGGGAGACAGAATGGGAGACGGGTTGTGGCCAGGCAGAAAGACACACAGAAGAGAAGGAGTCGAAAGGACAGAGAGCGCGACAGGGAGAAGGAGAAATAGGAAGAGAAGTAGGGAGACAAGCAGAGAGGGAGTTGGGACACAAAGAGACTGGAGAGAGATGGGAGAGGCGGATGTGGGCTAAGACTGTGGGACACATGACGGGCAGGAATAGGAAGGTAATGGGACAGAGAACAGAGACAGAACATATTGGGGGATGAGGGAAGAAGGTGACCTGGTTAGACTCTTAAGAGTCAGAGGAGGGAGAGGGAATGGGATGGGACTTATAAGGGGCAAGGCCTTGAGGGTATTCTGGCAGGGCTGCTGATCTAATGGGGAGTCCTGAGGTTGAGTAGCTCAGCAGTCTGTCCTCCGACCACAGGATGACCTGTTTCAGGGCATGCACAGCTTTTTCTCCACCCCCATGGACTTCCAGAGCCTCCCCAGAAACTACCACCAAGAAGAGAACCAAAAGCGCCAGCTGGGGAACAGCACTATCTCTAAACACCTCCAGATAGACAAGGTGCCTATGCTGGGAAGTCCCTCCTAGAGTCTCCCCATGATCCCTCATGCTGTAGCATCTGTCTGGAGGAGGGCAGAGGAGGAAATTGGTCTTGCTCTCACTCTCCTCCTGTCTTCACAGGTGACAGACAACAAGACAGGAGAGGTGCTGGTCTCTGAGCAGGTGGTGGCATCCATTGAGCCAAGAGAGGGGAGCTTGGAGGGTGACTGGAAGGTTAGGACATGCCCCCCACAAAGTGTCCAAGACCAAACATTTTTATAGTTTAGGAGGAGAAGATGAGTTGACTGGCCTACTCCCTCTGTGTGGATGATTTCCTCTCTTGGCCTCAGTCTTATCATATGTCAAAAGGGCCCAAACAACTCTCAGAAATGAAGTTTACAACTTCAAAGTACATCCCCACTTGCTTAGTAAACCCCAGACGGTTTTGTAACCCGAAGTGCCTTAAAAGGTACTTGGTAAGCTTCAAAGTGTGAGGCTAAAAGTGTTTTTATCTCAAATGTACTCTGCAAACCTCCATGTATTTCTTAATCTATCTCAAAGTGCTTGATAAATCTCTCCCTTGTAAATTTCAAAATGTGATTTTTAACTCCAAAGTGCTTTATGAATCCCAAAGCCTTATGTATCTTAACTTCATAAACCTCCGAGTGCTTCTAACCACAAAGTGCTTATTTTTTGTCCTAAAAAAGTTTTAAGAACCCCCAAGCGCTTGGCAAACCTATATCATTCTCCCCAAAACACACACACAGTTTTTTATTTTAAAATTTTCAAACCTAAAGAAAAATTGAAAATACAATAGAATACATCTGTATTCTCTTTTCCATAGAGCAGGGTTGCTCAACCTCAGCACCATTAGCATGAGCATGGGGGCTGGGTAATCTTTTGTCATGGGGCGTTCCCATGCAGGACCTGGATGGCTACAGCGTCCTCGCCTCCAGCCGCTAAATAGAAGCAGCACCTCCACCCCCACCAGTTGTAACAACTAAAAATATCTCCAGACTGCTGTTGAGAACCACTTACCTACACCAGTGTTAATACCGTGTATTCACCAGTACTCAACCAGTGTAAGAACCATATTCATTCACTGTTAACACTAATTCACCACTTGTTAACATCTTACCACATTTCCTTTATTTTTACTGTTTTATTTGCAAACCATATGACAGCAAATTTTTAACATCGTGACATGCCACCCCTAAACCCTTCAGCTGATATCTCCTAAGAATAATGCATTCTCCTGCGTGACCACAATACCATTTTTACCCCCAAGAAACTTAATACTGATCTCAAACTATTACTGCTTTGGATAGGGTTCCTGTAGCAAAGTCCCACCGACTGGGTGGTTTAAATAACAGAAATATATTGCCTCACAGTTCTAGAAGCTAGGTGTCCAAGATCAAGGTGTCACCAGGGTTGGTTCCTTCTGAGGCTGGGGAGAGGAATCTGCCCCAGGCCTCTCCCCTAGCTTCTGGTGGTCTGCTGACAATCTTTGGCAGTCCTTGATGTGTAGATGCATCACCCTGACCCCTAACTCCATCTTCACATGGCACTTCTCCGTAGGTGCATTTCTTCATCCAAACTTCCCATCTGCATAAAGACACCAGTCATGTTGGATTAGGGCCCACCCTAATGACCTCATCTTAACTGATTTCATTGATGAACTCTGCAGTAATCCTATATCCAAGTAAGATCACATTCTGAGGTACTGGGGATTAGGACTTAGATATATGAATTGCAGTTGGAGGGACACACAGGTCAACTGAGAGCAATCTCCTACCGGCCTTCTCACACAGTTCAACTTAATGAAAGGCAGACTCTTGATTCAGTATGTGAGTATGTGAACCCCACACCTCAGATCTCACACTTGAATCCATCTGACTTTTCTAGCTCCCAAATGCATATGCCACCGGTCCATAGCCCTCATTTTGAGTAGCAAGGACCAAATGGTCCTTCAGTCCATATTCAAATGTCCCTGCCAGACCAAAAGCTGTCTTACAGAGTTGATGTGATTTTTGACCCAGGATTCGATCAAGGATCACAACTGTAGCCACGGTACTTCATAAAGCCAAGAGCTCTTAATCCCAAAGAGTTGTACATTTCAAACCCCTTTCTAAACCTCAGAGTATGTTTAATCCTAAAGTGCTTTTGGAACCTCCAAAATGTGTTTTCAATCCCAGAACATTTTATAAACCTCTGAGTATATTTAATTCTATAGCGCTTATAAACCTGAGTGCTTTATTAACTGCAAAACTGGCTTTTAACTCGCAAAGCAGTCGATAAGTGGCAAAGTCGGCTGAATAGCCTGTAGGGACTGAGCATCCTGGGGTTGTCATTTGGAGTTTGAGAGATCTTGTCCCTCCTCCCCAGGTACCCAAGATAAAGGAGACAGCCCTACTGCCCACCCCGAAGGCTGTGGAAAGCTTCCACCCAAAGCTCCATCCCCGAGTCGCCTTCTGGATCAGGAAGGTGCCAGGAAGGAGGTCCCACCAGGAAACCCAGGAAGACAAACACTGGCCCAGCAAGAAGCGACACCGCATGCAGGCCATCCGGGATGGGCTCCGCAAGGGGACCCGAGAGGACACCCTAGCAGAGGGGCCCCAGGGCTCCTCCCGCTCCCAACTGCCTGCCCACAAGACCCACTTCCTGTACATCTTCTTACCTTCCCACCAGACTGCACCACAAGAACCATAAGTAAATAAAGATTTTTCTTCCACCTGGCAGCAACTCACCTTTTGGGATCTGTCCCCAGGCCATGGCAAGTTCCCCCAACCCTAGCCTCGAGCCTGACAAGCAACTGCACTGCTAGCTCTTGCCAAGGTCCCCAGGCTTGGTTTTCTCATTCAGACAACTGTCATCTTTCTGAGCAACTCTTGTCACCTCCAGCCCTATCCATTCCCTCAGTCCCTGACCCTGTCCAACCTCCAGCCCTGTCTGACCTCCCACTTCCAACTCTTTCACCTGATTTCTGTCTGTCTTCGGCCTCTGTGTTCGTTTCCCATTACTGCTGCAAAAAAATGACCACATACATAGCAACTTCAAAAAAATGTAAATGTATCTCTCACAAATTTCTAGGTCAAATCCAGGATGGTATGACTGGTCCTCTGCACAAGGCCAAAATTAAGGTGCCAGTCAGCTGGGTTCTTACCTGGAGGCTCTGCGAAGACTCTGCTGCCAAGATCATTCAGTTTATTGGCACAATTGAGTTGCTTGGGGATGGACGGAGGTCCCTGCTTCCTCGCTGGCTGACACCTGGGGCCACCCTCCCTCAGCTTGTAGAAGCCTCTCTCTGGTTCTTGCATGTGGACCCCACACCTTAGATCTCACACTTGAATCCATCTGACTTTCCCTTCTATTCCATCTCCTGCCTTCCTCTTCTTCCAGCAGGAGACAGTTGTCTGCCTTTAAGAGATTGGATTGGGCTCGCCTGAACAGCATATTTCACAGGTTCCAGGAATTAGAAAGTGATCATCTTTGGAGGACCATTATCCTGCCTACCTCATGTCCAGCCCTGTGTCACTCATATCCACACCCAGCAGTCTCGACTCTCTCATCTTTATCTTCTCATCCAACTTAACATGCATATCTTACTCTCAATTTACATGCTAAATCAATCTCTGACCTGTTCTTCAGTTTCTCTCTCCTTTGTCTTTCTGTCTGTCTCTCCATGTCCATCACCTCAGACCCCATCTCTGCCAGTCAGGCCTGATGCATCAACCAAGCCTGGAAGCTCACAGACTTGCGCATTGTCCGCTTTGCCCCCATCACCAGAACATCTCCTGTTCCCTCCAAGACCCCATTTTGATTAGGTAGAATGTCCCGACAAGGCTACTCTAGCAGTCCACAAGATTTCCATGAACCTTAACCCACACCTGGCATCTGGGGTGGCTTTGTATTGTGTCAGCTTAGCTAAGCTGAAACTATACTTCCCAGAATTCCTCTTCCTGCATGGTTCTGGTTTAGCATTGGCCACAGGAGAAATTCACATCAGAAGTGAAGCAGCAGCCATGTTTACTCTTGGAGGTTTAGCAAGGAGTCAGGGGCTGCTTCTGGTCAAACATGTTGTCATGGATCTGCTGGCCCACCTTACTAGCCAAGGTGGGCAGCTGTAGGACCCCTGGCTCTTCCAGTTTCCACTAGACCTCCTTTGGCTCCTTGAAATCCTGAACCCATTTTGTGTGTAGCTCCATGGCAAAGTGTGCTGGCTTTTGTACAGGTCACCTGCGTGGTTGAAGCAGGAGGCTTGTAGATGGTGAGAGACTGGTGCAGGTCATCGTTCATCTCCATGAGTTCCAGCTCATGCTCAGGGTCCCAAATTCATATCCATCTTCTCTACCCAATGGCTGGCCTGACACCAGACACAGGGGCAATAGATTTAACATAGACAAGTTCAACCAGCTCACACGATTGCATGAGGTCTAATTCATAGAGTAAACATTTATAGCACCTTGAAAACATGTCAAGTGAAAGATGCCAGTCACCAGGGAACATAGAATGTAGGATTCCATTTATATTTCTAAAATAGGCAAATCAACGGAGACAGAAAGTAGATGAGTGGTTATTGGGGCTGGGGAATGGGAGAATTGAGGTGGAGTAATGGCTCTGGGGTATGTGGTATCTTTCAGGAGTGATGAAAATGCTTAAAATTAATTGCAGTGACAGCTATACAACACCGTGAATATACTGAAAACCACTGACTTGTACACTTTAAATGACTGAATTGTATAGTGTGTGAATTATAACTCAAGAAGATGTTAATATAACTAATTCCAAAATATCACTCATAATGGCTCTGCATCTCTGATCAAATCTTAAATGATATGGCATCATCCAGCTAGCTGATGTTTGCTAATCTACCAAGGGTAGTTTTTTATTGCTTTAATTGGACTTTCTCTGGTTACTCACCTCTTGGGCTCCTCATCACTATTAGTCTTTTAGATTTCCTCTTCTATAAATAGCTCATTTTTCTGTAAATACTTGGCCATTTTTCTATTGCAGTTGCTATCTTCATCTTTTTTTAAAAAGAATCTACAAATGAATTCTTAAGTTCAGCAAGTTTGCATCTTTTTTCCCTCTACCCATCTGGGGTTCACTGGCTGGGGCCCTGTAAACTAGACTTAACAAAAGACAATAAGAGAGAAACAAACCAAAGTTTATTAGCATTTTCATCATGTATACATATGGGAGCACTCAGATGAGTAACCCAAAGGGGTGGTTAGAACTTGGGACTTCTATAGCGTCTTAACAAAAGAGAAGTAACAAGACAAAGGAAAATGACTTTGTGTTTTAGGGCTGCAAATTGTAGGAAAGCAAATATATAGGAGAACTAATGGAAAATAAGGACTAGTTAGTAAAGTTTGTTCTGTAGATCCCTTTGGTACTGTGTCTGGATTGCTAAGGGTCTACAATTGTCTCCCATTACTAGCTTTTATCCTTACTGGTAGAGAGGGGAGAGGGAACATCTTTACAAATTTATGTCCAGCTTGTAGGCAAACGGGGAGGACAAAGAGCTTTTCTTGTATCTGCTTCTTCTCAATTGTCTTCAGGTCAAATTGATCTTTATGCCATAGTAGCATATTTTGGGGTAGCATATTCAGCTATACTCACTGTATATAAGATTAACATACAAAAATTACATCTGCAAACATTAGGAATGAAAGAAGTTTAGTGAAATTTTTAAAAATATGATGTACATTAGCATAAATGAAATACTTAGGAATAGACATAAAAGATTAGCTAGATCTCTAAACAGAAAACTATGAGACATTAACTGGGAGCAATTAAAGAAAATCTAAGTAATTTATAGCAACAGTATTCATAATTGCCAAAAAGCAGAAACAGCTCAATGTTCATCGAGAGTAAAATTGTTTAATCACTGCATACTCATGCAGTGGTCATTACATAACAGTGTTGCAAAGAATGACCTACTGCTAGAAGTCATAATCAAAAGTGGTTACCTTAGGAAGGTAATGATTAGGAGGTGTGCAGGCAGCTTCTGGGTTGTGGGCAAGATACTCTTTTTTTTACATGGTTGGTTTCATTAATGGATTACTCTATAAAAATTTATGAGATATAACAAGATTCAGGGCTTTATGTAGGTTATGATTGTATTATTAAATTTTTTTTTAATTTTTAGCTTTTACAAAACTAGCCAGATGTCAAAAAAGGAAGGAACAAGAAATGACAGAATAAAGTAAAAGAATGAAATTATACTAATAAAGCTAATGGGGTCCACCACTTGCCAGCTTGTGCTAAGAAAACCTTTGGCAAACGTTCTTACTGAATTCCCGTAAGACCCTGAGGTAGATATTATTTGTCCCCATTTTAGAAAAGCTGAGGTATAGAGAGGTGAAGTCACTTGCCAAAGTCACACAGCAATGGCACTAGGTTTGTCTGATTCCATATCTCACATTTTTAACCACTCATCACATCACTGCCGAACAAGTTCTTTCCCAAGGCCTAACAACAAGCCAACACCTAGTAGCCAAAATAATAAATATTAACAAGGATTACCTCAAGTCCACAAGGTAACCTAAGAAGCTCTTATCATCTCCATTTCTGGAATGAAAACAGAGGCTCAGAGACAGAACCCCAAAACAGACTCCTACTGTATATAGTTCACATTCCAGTGGGGATGACAGTACATAAATATAGACTGTGTCATGTGGTGAAACATGACTTGACCACTCAGAAACAGTACATGGATAGTGAGATGGGGGCCTAGGTGCAGCGGGGGAGCTCTGAGAAAGTGACAGCTGAATGAATGATGGTGGGCTGAACGAAGATATGAAAGGATTCCTTTTCTACGTCTGGGTTAGCAGAGGCCGAGTGGGTGGGATTATCTTTTATCCCCAAAACCTTTTCTTGAGGGTCAATTTTGGATGTAATTCTCTTCTTCCCTCTCTAGCCGGAAAAGCTAAGGGTATTTTTTCCGCACTCTGAAAGGAATGAATGAAAAAATTGGGGAATGAATCCTTCGGGGACCTATTAATACATCATGACTGGAGCCACAAAAGGGCGCGGGAGTGGTGAGCCAGAACAGCACAGGACAACATCGTGACGCTGACGGGCAGCGTGGCCCGGAGTAGAGGGCAGAAAGGGCACGGCTTGGGGGCTGATAAGAAGTGGGGGGTGGACAGGCGGTCCCTCTCCCTTGCTTGAGCCCATTCCACCGAAGCTTGAGGCCACAGAGAAAACTCCAGCAGAGGACGCAGCCGTCCCGCCCTTTCCTTACCAGCCGCAAGCCCTCCAACCTCCAACCCCCCGGTACGCACGCGCCTGCTCCGCGAGGAAGGGCGCGCGCCGCGGCAGCCCGCATGCGCAGCCTTGCTGTGGCAGGTAACCGACAGGACGCACGCGCGTCTCGCCGCGGTTTGAGCCGACGTCGGGGGAGGAGCCCAGGCAGGGGCGGAGTTCAGACGCCACGTGCGCTCTCGGTCTCGCCCCGCCCCCTTCGCGTATTCTTGAGGAAACAGAGCCCGCGCACCTTTTCCCCTTGTAACTGCTGTTTGTCGTTCGCTGTCCTCTGCTGTGTCCCTAGGCTGGGACGTGGCCCCAGGTGCGTCCTGGGGCTGTGGTGGGGTTCCCCAGAGTGGCCCTTCTAGAGCCCCTCCCGAAATCCTGGCAGAGCCCCCAAATCGTAGGGGAGAGTCCCCAATACCAAGGCCTTCCAAATCTCCTAGAAATTCTGACCATATCCCCTCAGAAATACTGAAAGAAACCCACTAGGAAATCTTACAGAGGACTCCTGAAACTTTGTCAGAATCTTCTAGGAGTTCAGTTAGACTTCTCCCTCACCCACCCCCCCGGGAAATCCCACTACAGTCCCTGCAAATCCTATCAGAAATCCCCCAATCCTGTCAAATCATGTCAGACCGCCAAAAATCCTGTCAGATTTCCCTCCCAAAATCCTGTCAGAGATCTCTAAAATCCACTCAGAAATCCCTTTAACGCCCTTAAAACTCCCTGAACCCCCGGCCTGGGTCCTCCTGCTAGAGTCTCCTCATCAAACAAGATTGACCAGAGCCTCCCTCAATCCCTCACCAGGAGTCTGTCCCCCAAACCCTGTCAGAGGCGCCCAGTGCTGGTCAGCACCCTCGCGGGGACGCTTCCGCACTCAAGCCCCACAGCCCTCTCTCCAGCGTTGTCCAAGCCCTGGAAGGATTTCTCTTCAAAAACCCCTTTTTCTAGGACGTTCTAAAAGCCTCCAAGAACTGTGCACTTCACAGCTGTGGACCCTGTCTGGCGCCAGGGAGAGCAGAGTGTGGGGAGGACTTGGTGAGTAAAAGGGGACTGAGCAGGTGGGGTGAAGGCACACAGGCCCCAGTGACCCTATGTTGGCCACGTAACCCCAGTGTGCCCAGTTCAGCCCCTATTGGAGGGGGTCCATGTCCGATGTAATTATTAATAGCACCCCTTTCCCTCTTGAAAGTGTCCTGGGGTTGGGACAATAAGTCATGCGGTCAACCTGGTCATGAAGGACGCAGGGCAGGAAGCTGTGAGCCAGGGCAGGGGCCACAGTGGGACGGTGTGTGCAGGGGGCCTTAGCCTGGCGAGCCCGTGGGAAGATGCTGAGTTCCTATGGCTGTGATGAGGGGAGGGACCTGGAGGTTGGCCAGTGGAGAGAAGAGTGACAAAAAGAGGCAGGGAGTTGCAGGGACCACTCTGAGTCACACCGACAACAGGGGCTAGGACTTAGTCCTGAGGGCACTAGGGAGCCATGGGAGGGCTGGGAGCAGGAGAGAAGCGGGGTCAAAGTCCAGTTTGGGACCAACAATTCCAAATACAGGTTGTATGGCAAGAATGTCAGTGGCCCAAGGTGGTATGGGAACCCAGAGACAGCACCTCATTTAGAAACATTTTCCCAGAGAAGGGGACATGTGAGCCGAGACAGGAAGGGCTGGCAAGGAGGTTGTCCCAGGCAAAGACCTAGAGGTGGAACCAGCAGGCCCCATTTGGGGAGCAGTGTGCCATTCAGAGTTGCTGGATCAGCAAGTGTGTTTTGGGGTGAGGAGGCAAGCAGGGCCAGGCCATGCAGGGCCTTCAATGCCAGGTCCAGAGCCTAGGCTCTGTCCACAGGGTGCTGGGGAGCCATGGGAGAACACTGAGCAGGGCAGGGGCAGGTCAGCTCTGGGGCCCTGCGGAAATGAACTGGAGGCTGGGAGGCCAAGGAGGAGGATGGGACAAGGGCTCGGGGAGAGGGTGAGGCCTGAGCCAGGGCTATCGGGAAGGAAAGGAGGCAACAGGATAGAGTCATTGGACACAAGGGACAGGGCTGGAGACAGGTGTGGGGAGGAGAGGGGAAAGGAGGCACTGACCTCCACCCACCGGCCCCTGCTTTGATCTCTGCGGCCCACTTCTCAGGCCCCCGCTTCCCCAGCCCACACCTCCAATCCATGAAACAGGTCTGAGAGGGAGCTGCTCTGGTGGAGGCAGGGGTGGGCAAACAGGTTCTGAGAACCCAGAGTGGCCTGGGGCCCAGGTGGGGCAGGGCAGGTCTCCACCTATGGGTGGCTGGTGTAAGGAGGCCATCCCCCGGTTTGTCCTTCCAGGAGCTCTCAGAGCAGTCCGTCTTTTGTCGGTCCCTTCTAGCAATGGAGGGAGGCTATTAGCTTCGCCGACAGCTACGGAGCAGCAGGGTTGGCTCACAGACCTGCCAGAGGGCCCAGCGAGCAGCCCCATTGCAGAAAGTAGGTGGCTGGGCCCTGGGATGCCCCATGGGAGGATGAGGGGCCAGTAGACGAATGGGTGCCCGGCTGTGACTCGGGGGCTTGGGAGAGGTGGCAGGGGTGGCTGAGCCTCCACGTTGGTGCAGGGTGGGAGAGAGGAAGCTACTGGTGATTGTCTGCTGTGGGCCAACCTCTGGACCACTCATCTCTTTGCTCTGGGGAGGCCAGAGCAGAAGCCTTTGCATGCACTCTGCCCCCTGCCTGGGGCACCTTCCCCAGGGGCCCGCAGGCTCACTCCTCACTTCATTCAGGTCTCTGCTTTCTTTCTGTAAAACAGCTTCCCTGCCACATTCTCTCCCCTGGCCTTCTTACTTCTCTTCATAGCACTGACATCTGTTTGTCTGTTAGTCTGTCTCCTCTGCCCACTACAGCATGAGCTCCAAAAGGCAGGGTCTGTTTCCTAGTCCCTAGGGCAGCACTGTCCAACATGCAAACCATACATTTAATTTTAAATTTTGTAAGTAGTCACCTTTAAAAGAAACAGGCAAAATGAATGGCAATAATAGATTTCATTTAATTTAATGTATCCAAACTGGTATCCTTTCAGCATATAATCAGTGTAAAAATGTACTGAGATATTCTTTCATACTAAGTCCTCAAGGTTTGGTGTGTACTTTACACTAATAGGACATCTCAATTCACACTCGCCACAGTTCAAGTGCTAAAGAACCACACGTGGCAGTGGGTGGCTGCCCTGTGGGTTAGTGCTGCCTTAGAACAATGCCTGACACGTAGTAGGAACTCATTTATTGTCCTTGAATGGGTGGATGGATGCAAACAAAATGGTTATAAAAGCCAGCTTCAGGGGGAAGGCGCTGGGTTGCCTTCTCAGAGACTTCTCTGCAAGTGGGAGAGCCCAGTCTGGTGGAGGAGGAGGCTCCCACCCTTGGGGAGAGGCAGGGCCACCTCTGTAGAGGCTCCCAGCGTCCAGCAGCAGAGCCTGTCTTTTCTCAAGACCATGATCTGGACTCTGGCTGCAGGAGGCTTTCCAACTAGGCTGGAAGGAAGGAGGCAGACACCTGGTGCGGGAACTGACCAAGTGACTGACACCTAAACTTTACTGACACCAGCAGAGGGCGTGCGGCCACCGAGGAATCTGGGCAAGGGCTGAGCCAGCTTTGGGAGACTCTTGAAGGAGAGGGACACAGCCAGGAGAGATGGAGGCAGAGGAAGTCAGTGGGGAAAGAGACAAAGAGAGAGAGCAGAGGAAGGAGAGAGGGAATGCAGAGGCCCTGAGATATGGGAAAAGAAGCCCAGAGATAGAGAGACTTGGAAGAAAATAGGGGTGAGGGTCACGGAAGCAGGCAGCACTAAGGGAGAGAGGAATGGGGAGGAAAATGGGGAGAAAGAGGCAGAGAGAAAACTAGAGAAGGGCAGTGACAGAGACACAGAGAGAGCAGGGGACACTTAGGAAGGAAATGAAGGGAAGGAAGGAGAACAGGAGCGAAGCAGAGGACATCTTCCTCAGGGGCACAGGAAGGGACTGTAGGCAGGTGCAGATCCTCAGGCGGGCCCGTCTGGAGCCAGACAGGCCTGAGCTGACTCTGGCTCACCTCTTCCTGGCTGAGCAGCCCTGGGCGAGTGATCTCACTGGGCCTCGGGGGAGCGCGGAGAGACGAGCAACAGAGTGCTGGCAAAGCCCCACGCAGACCCCTGGTCACTCTCCTAACCATGGGTTCCCCTTCTCCTTTCCTAGGAGCTTGGGTTCAAACCAAAGGGAGCCAAATTTTAGCTCACTGCAAAAAACCCTTGAAGAGTTAGAGGAATGAAAAAGGGCACCCATATGTTGAACAGGTGACCTTGAGCACGTTCCTAGCTTCTCTGAGCCTAAGCACCCTCATCTGTAAAGTAGGGCTAATAACAGCAGCCACCGTGGTCCATGCAAAACACTCAGAAGCAGCAGGGCTGAACAAATGTTCGATTCTATTATTGAGCCTCCATCACATACCAGGCCCTCTGCAAGGGCTTTTCCAGGTTTTATCTCATTTCTTCCCTAGAAGGGAGGGAGCACCACTTACTTTCCAGAAGAAGACACTGAGGTTCAGAGAGGCTGAGTCCCTTGCCTGGGTTGCCACCTGGGTCTGCCAGTCCCTGCAGCCTGTGCTCAACCCACTGCTACTCCTAGCTGTCCAAGGAATAGGGAGGGAGCCTCCAAGTGCACCGCCACTCCTGGGCAGACTCAGGGGCTCCTGGGGTAGAGGGATCTCTTCCTATATCTTGGAACATCTATTGAGTGCCACTGTGTGCAGGCAGTGTGGTTACAGCAGTGAATCAACAGCCCCCAGAACATTCGCAGTGTGTGTGGTGGGGGGCTCTTTACGTATATGAATCTAACCTCCCAGTCCTGGTAGGGGGATCATTCCACCCACCCATTTTATGGGTGGGGAAACTGGCTCCAAAAGGAGAAGCGATTTGCCGACAGTTGTGCATCTGGGCTCTGAGCTCCTATCCACTACCCCACTGCCCACCCTACCTGGATTGCCCCAGCCCCCAAGGTGTCAGGCTCCTAGCCATGGACACCAGCATCCCCTCGAGAATATGGGGAGGAGAGAGACCTGGTCCCCCAGGCAGCTGGGAGACCGGAGATGTGGCTGCTGGATCGATCCAGGCTGCCCGCATGTTATTGGATTGTTCCTGGCTCCTGGGACCCCTGCACCCTTGCCTCTTCCCAGAATCCTCTCTTCTTTGCCTTCCCCTGCCCCAGCCCTCTCAAGCCAAGCCGGGAAGGCAGAGGAAGAGAGAAGGAAAGAGTGATCTCAGAGTGTTCCTTCATTATCTGGACTCCTGAGGGATTGGACACACTGGATTAGACAGCAGGGGTACTTCTTGGTCTGAAAGATGGAGCCCACATCTCCAGCATGGGGGATGGGGAGGTGACTGAAAGGCCCTCACATTGCTGCCCTTATCCTAAGTTTCCTGTTGTCCCCCACCAGCCCCAACTTGAGGCAGCTCTCAATTCCCTCCCCCTGCAGGATCCCAGGATACGGGGACCTGGGGTCACCACCCCTCTACCCCTACCCCTCCTTACTCCTGCTCATGGGTGGCTGGCCCTCTTGTCCCCTCAGTGTACCACTGGGACCAGCCTGGGGAGGGGAGCCTGGAAGTGCTGCCCAGCCAAGAGGAGCAGATACTCAACTCCACCTTCGAAGCCTGTGACCCCCAGAGGACAGGTGGGAGGGGCAGGATGGGCGAGTGGAGCACTGGGTGTGGGACAAGCAAGGAATGATCAGGGACAGAAATGGGGGCTGGGAACTGAGGAGCCATTGAGGGGGTGGGCTAAGGCCCTTCCTTAAGGGTCCTTCAGGACGAAGTGGGGATTGTGGGAAACTTCAGGAAGGAAGTGGTAAGGGTGAGGACAATAAGGGGACTTTCAAGGTGAGGACGGGGAGGAAAACTTGAGGGACATTAACAGCAGAGGGGCTTTGGGCCTGGGAGAGGAAGGAAGGGCAGCCTTTGGGCCTGGTGGTGCACAGCTGGTCCTCTTCTGTCCTCTGAGTGGGGATGACTGGGCCCATTTCCAAGTGGAAAAGTCAGCTCAGGAGGGGAAAGGACCAGCCCAAGGTGTCTCAGCTGGGCCAAGCTGCCAGGGAGCCACCAGCCCAGCCAGTGACATCCTACTTCCAAGCCATCACCTGTCCCCAGCCTCTACCCCCACCTGCTCAGACTCCCTCGCAGCATGCTCTGTTCCCAGGCATTGTGGCTGTCACCCGTGTACTAGCCTACTTGGAGACTGTGACAGGACGAGGCTCCCAAGATGCTCGCCTCCAAACCCTGGCCTGCAGCTTGGACCCCAACGGGGAGGGCCCTCAGGCCACTGTGGACTTGGACACCTTCCTGGTCGTCATGCGGGACTGGATTGCCACCTGTCAGCTGGATGGGTGGGTCCCTGTACCTGGCCCCCACCCCAGGAAGTCCTTCCTAAGATCTAACCTCATACCTGCTCACTGCAACTGGCGCCCTTTGGGCGCAGGGATGGAATGTGGTTGGAAGGAGGCTGAGGAGGAGAGAAAAGTAAAGGGATGTAATTGGAAGGGTAGGAGGTCTGAGGACAAAGTGCCTGGAATGGGGAGGCAGAGAGAGTCTAGAGAACAGAATATAAAGGCCGGGAAGGAGAAGGGGGAAGTTGGGGGGCTGAGAGAGGCCCCTCCCCATCTCTTCCCCAACCCAGCCCTTGCCCCTCCTGCTTTTCCATCTGGCCGTGTGCACTTGCCATCTGGCCTGGCCTTCCTCTCCAGGGTGCCCCCTCTCACCTGACCTGGCCCCTCCTCGCACCCCCAGCAGTCCCCCTGCCTGCCCCCTGACTGCCATGACTGTCAGGATTGGAGGTGGGGGGTTGGCTGCAGGGGGCTCTAAGCCTCATGCCTTTGATACAGGGGATTAGAGCTGGAAGAGGAGGCCACCTTGGAGGAGACCGCCCAGCACCTGCCATCTGGTGAGATTGCTATATATAGAGTGAAGCAGGCAGGCCCAGGGACAGACAGTTGGGGGACTTCCCACCTGGGGACAGAGTAGGGGACAGGTGAGACCCCAGGGACCTTTGCTCTGGCCTGGAGCTGTGAGTTTGGCTTTCTGGGTGCCTCTATGACTGCCTTCCCATGTTCCCTGAGCTTTGGGGGTTTTCTCCTTAGGGGTGGTTTCCAACTCCTCCCAACACCAGCCCATTAGAAAGGCCCACAAGGCCCTGCCCACTGCCCCTCCCAGCTCTCTAGTGCCTGCGTTTACAGTCCCTCTGGCCTTGTTGCTCTTCCTGGAAGGTGCTACACACACCTGCCCTCCAGGCAGAGGCTCTCCTCCCTCACACCTGGGGATGCCCCTGGGTGGGGGAGCCCTAACGTCCCAGGCTAAGGGCCTGCTCGCTGCACCCACTCACCCAGCTGCATTTCTTCCTGCAGAAATCTGATTATCTGATTGTTTGCATTATTATGGAAATCTCCCTGCTGTTTGGTTAAGATGAGATCGCTCACCTTTGTATCCCTAGGGTCTCACACATAGCAGGTCGTCCCTAAAAAGTGTTGGTGTTGTCTTTCTCCAGACTTACAAAAACAAGGCAAAACATTCCCTGGAACCTCCTTCAGTCAGGCTTGGGGGCCTGGAGAGGGCTGGGGGTGGGAGAGGACCAGGTCAGCTCCAGGTGAGGAAAGACCCCTCAGGGTGGGGCAAGGACAGGAGGGAGAGGCTGAAAGACAGGAAGCCAGGGAGGAGGCTGTGGTGAGGGTCCAAGGAGAAAGGTGAGGCCTGAGCCAGGACTTGGGCCTGGGGACAGGCCTGGGCTCCTGCGGACTGGGGGTTGAGGGCGAGCTGGGGCCGCACAGCGGCTAGGTGAGTGGCTGAGGACCTGGGAGAAGAAGTGGGTTGGGGGCATTGATAGATTCGAGGGCCTTGGAGGAGATCCAGCCTGAGCTCAAGGGACCAGAGGGAGCCAGAGGCCTCTCCGGGGGTGGGTGCAGTTGCAGCTGCAGGGTCAGGTGAGCTCACCCGGAGCGGACTGGAGGGCGGAGGCCGGAGGAGGCCGCCAGGAAGCCCACACCTCTGTCTGTCTCCCTTCAGGATTCCCAGAAGCTGAGGACACAGCCAACCTGGAAAGCTTCGGCGGGGAAGACCCCAGACCTGAGCTGTACCTATCCTCAGGCCCTTCCCTGCCCTCCCTGCTGCCCCGGGGCCTGGTGCAGGGCTTGGGGTCCTTGGGGGAGTGGGTGAGGGGCAGGGGCTATGGTGGTAGCTCGGCAGTCTCCCTTGCTTCTCTTTCTCCAGAAGAGCCACATCTCCCCACCACCACCGGGGAAAGGTGGCCTGGGCCAAGCTTGCTGACCGCGGCCCTTCCCTGCCCGCAGGCCTGCCCCAGCCGACCTGCTCAGCAGTCTGGAGGACCTGGAGCTCAGCAACCGCAGGCTGGTTGGGGAGAACGCCAAACTGCAGCGCAGCGTGGAGACGGCCGAGGAGGGGTCGGCGCGTCTCAGGGAGGAGATTTTGGCCCTGCGCAAGCAGCTTCGCAGGTGGCTGGCCCCACGCCCACCCTCCTGGCACCCCTGTGGCCCTCCTGACCACGCCCTGAGCTCACTTTCCACTCTCTCTCTCTGCACCTCCAGCTCCATATATTCAGCCCTACACTTTCCATTTCTTTTCCTCTTTCTGTCTTATTTTTCTTTTTTGTGTCTCCCTGGTTCTTGTCCCTCAGCCTCTAGGGTTCAAACTTCCAGTCTCTCTCTGATTCTGTCAACAGCCTACTCCTTTTCCTGTGCTCTGTCTTCTTTATGTCTGTCATGTTCCCCCTATTTTTGTCTCCCGCTCTCTCTGTCTCCCTCTCTATGGGTCTCTCAGAGTTCTCTGTTGCTTCTGTCTCTCTGAGTGGATCTGTCTCTGTGTCTCTGTCTTCCTGTCCCTCCTGGGGCCCACCTGACCCCCACCCCAGTACCCAGCAGGCTCTCCAGCTTGCCAAGGCCATGGGTGAGGAGCTGGAGGACCTGAAGACTCTGGCCAAGAGCCTGGAGGAACGGAATCGCAGCCTTCTGGCCCAGGCCCGGCAGTCGGTGGGTTCTGGGCAGGGGGCACAGAGGGGCTCTCCTCCTACCCCCCGTCTTGGAGTCTGAGCAATGAGCCTGACTATACAGTGGGAAGGGGCAGAAGTCAACCCAGCTTCCTCCCTCCCTCTGGGTCCTGGCACCCAGACTCTGGGTCCAGATCTGCTTGCATCCCGTTCATGACAAGGCGACAGCAGGACCGCTGAGGGTTCCCCAGACCCATTCCCCCTACCCTGCTCCTCGGTGACCCAGACCTGAGTTGTGTTCTTAGGAGAGAAAGAAGGTCAATAAGGGGACAAGGAGGCCCAAAAAGAAGCCTTTGTCCTCTTTCTGGGGTTGCTCAGGAAAAGGAGCAGCAGCATCTGGTGGCTGAGATGGAGACTCTGCAGGAGGAGGTGAGCTGAGGCCCAGCACCCGTCCCTCCCCCTCGCCTCCCCCAGCCCTCAGGATCTTCCTGATCCTGCTGCCCAAACACCCCCGGCAGCCTGCGACCAGACACCCTTCAGTCGGCTGAGGGGACCCCAGAGCCCCAATAATGTGTAATATCCCTGTCGGTCGCATTGCTGTGGAGGGAGCTTCAACGGTTGGTAAAAGTAAGGGGTGCAGGGTGAACAGCCGGGTTCGTGCTGAGGCTGCCTGTGTAAGCCTGGGCTCGCCCTTCACTCTCTGTGCCTCAGCGTCTCACCTGTAAAAACAGGCAGTATTAACAGAATGTCCCTCCTTGGGTTGAATGAGATTTAAATGAGAGGATGCTTGTAAAATCTTAGCCAGCAGGCAGGACCCATGGAAAGTGCTCACAAAAAGGAACTCTAAAACTTGACTAGAGTTCTTCACACATTAGTATTTTTTTTAAGGTGGAAAGCACAGGCCTTGAAGTCAGCCCTGAGTTCAAATCCCATCTCTTCCATTCACAACAGGCAGCCTGTTGGCATGTGACTTCCTCTTCCTGAGCCTTAGTTTTAAGAAAATGAAATGACAGCCTCATGTCTGATCCAAGCCCTGTTCCACCTGACACAAAAAACATCATCTTAGTTAATTCTGGGTTCACTGAGTCCTTTTAGATGGAAATTGAAACTCACCAATTGATGATGAAGCTTGTTGCTGTCCCCCTCCCCCCCGCCCACAAGGTGGCATCTCAGTTGCTGGAGGTCCACTCAGCCTCTCCTGGTCTAGGAGGCGGTGCTTCTCGCTCAGTGTCTGCTTTCTCTGCTGGTCATGAGATTGATGTCCGTTGTCCCATCTGGTCCTCAGCCTTAGTCACCACTGCATGCTGGCATCCACTGGGAGGCTGGCATTGCCTTCTGGTCTCTGGACATAAAGCCCTTGCTACATCAGCTGTTGGTGGCCCTCATCTGGATGCCATAACACACAAGGGCTGCTGGAGCTCTTGCCCAGCCACCTCCACACCCTGCTAAGGGCACAAAGGAGGCTTAGCTGCTTTCCTGTGACTCCTTGTGGCCTCGGGGCCTCACTCCGCCTCACTTCTTCACACAGCCATCTCTGTTTTATCGTTTGCATGCCTTGCTGGTCCTGAGGCTGAGCTGGGAGATGCCTCTCAGATTCCTTGGTTCTATGGTTCAACTGCCGCCATCCTCTCTGCCCCTCTCGGCTAACTCAGGGCTTGGGGCTGGCTCAGGGCCCATTTTCACTCTATTGCTCTCTCCTTTGACTCTTTTACACCCTGCCACCAACCCTGATCTCTGCCTGTCCAGGCAATGAAATTGATCCTGCCTGATCCCTCCAAATCTTTGTCCTACATCTGTATTACGGATTGTGCATTTAAATCCAAATTTTTCCACTACTGTTCTCTGGCTCTTCCATGATATTTCCCTTTTTTAGGGCAGTGGGAAGCTTGCTGCAGAGCGACTTCTACTGTGTGAGGCAGGGGTGAAAACAGGACATGACTGTTTCTTCCAGGGCATCTCTTTTTAAGAACAAGGAAAAACATTCCCTAAAAGTCTCACGGCAGAACCTCTGTTCTATATTTCATTGGCCAAAGTGACATCAAATGACTACAGCCAAACCACTCCCTGGCATGGATAACACGGCCACTGATGAGTCCAGAATACTTTTGGCTCCAAGGAAGAGAACACCAAAGAAATGGTGCCTTCAATCTGAAGGACACTCATTTCCTTAACAAGTGGTCTTGAAGGTCCCTGGGTTGGTTTGGCGGCTCCTTGACTTCTTTGCCTGCCTGTGCCTCGTGATCACAGATGACTGCAACAGCTCCTGGCCTCATGTTCTCACTCAAAGCAGGACAAAGGAGAGAGGGTCCAGCAGATGCACTTTTCATGTCTCTCCCTTCTCATCAGAAGGAACAGCTTTTTCAGGAGCACCCCCATTCCACCCCGACCCCAGCAGGACTCTCTTACATCTCACTGCCTGGACCTGGATCACATGACACCCCCAGCTGCAAAGGAGGCTGGGAGAATATCTGAACTTCCTCAGCCTCTGGAGTGGGAGACAAGTGAGAAGGGGTAGAGAATGGCTGCCTGGTTATCAGCCAGGTCTCCTTTATCTTCCAAGATTTCCATCCTGATTCACCCCCACAGCAGGGCTGGGGGGCCCCCTGCCAATGTGCAGAGTGAACCCCCAACAAAAGCAGAAGGAGGGATAAGCAGGGTGAATGGCAGCCAGCAGTCTCCTGGGACACCCTAGGCGCTCGATAAACGAGCTATTCTTGGTTGCCTCCTTCCACTTTTCCCCTCTCTGCAGCTGCCTACAGAGCATCTATAGATCAAATTCTCAAGTTACGATAGAATAATGCTGGAGTCAGGTACACTCAGACACTCAGTTTTCCTCTGAGAACCTACGGAGCAGGGCTCAGCTTACAGCAAAAGGCAGGAGCAGCTGAGTAACCAGGTTCCCTGCTGAGTGGCCCAGAAGCCAGCCTGCAAGTCCCAACCAGGTGGACAGATGTTGACACAGCATTCCTGGACTGTCCTTCCTCCGCCCTTCACCTGACAGCCCAGGCCCGCTGCGACTGAGACGGAGGAAGGGCTGCTGATGGAGTGGAGCCAAGCTGGAGATGGAGGAGCTGGCCCTGGCGCAGAGCGGAGGGTTGTGGCAAGGGAAGTCAGGCTGCCTCCATGCCCTGAACTGCCCTCGCCCATAACTGCCTCATTGAAATTCAGTACAATTTAGTAGGTTTTTGGTGCCTATAAACTCTAGACTGAATGTGGGGCCATTTTATTCTCAGGTCCCTCTGTTACCCTCTGCCTTGGCCCCCTTGTTTTCCTAGATAACTCTCCTCACCACTGAGGACTCGGCCCCTGCACAGCCGCCTCAGCAGCCCCTCACCCGGACCCCCAAAGGGCCCAGGCCCCAGGCGTCATCAGAGTCCGCTTCCCACACCCCTCTCACCTGCTTCGGCATCCTTCCACCACTGGTGATGAGCTCCTTGGGGCAAGGGACAGCGCCGGCTCCCCACTCTCACTCAGGGCTGCATCTGGCTCAGAGGACAGTCCGGGAGCTAAAGCATAGGATTTGGAATCAGATTTGGGTTTGGATTTGAGTCCACTTACCAGGGACCTTAGCCAAGTTTCTTGGCCTCTCCGCTTCGCAATGCCCTTGGTGAAATCAGGAACTATTACAGAATAAAAGCAGTAATAGTTGGTTCAGCCAGACATTACAATCCTGCTGAACAGGAACAACACAGCAGTCCCCATGGAATCTTCCTGCCAAAAATTTGAACATGGGTCTAGCCAAGGCCTTGGGTCTACCTACCAGTTCACAGGAAATGATGAGCATGAAGAGATGCGGAGAACACCCTGCACAGGCAGTGAGAACGCAGTAAACCGAACCCAAGTGCCCCAGCTCTACAGGACAGGCAGCCCGAGTGCTTCCACAGAAAGGCCCAAAACAGTGCCAGGGCTGCGGAGGTGGGTCACTGTCAGAAGAAAAGGAGCCCTTTGAACCAAAAAGCCATGATGGACCTTGATTGGATCCTCAAACAAACTACATGTGGAAAGACATATCTGAGACAACCAGAATGAAAAAGAACACTGACTGGGGACGAGATGGTAGAAGGAATTACTGATTTTGTTAAGAGTGAGAATGGTGCTGTGTGCTTGCTAAAATAAAAAGTCCTCAGGAAATAAAAACGCTGGAGTAGTTATGGGTGAAATAATATGATGCCTGGGGTTTGCTTTAAAATAATCTGCTTAAACAAAACAAAAAACCTGGAGCACAGAAAAGAACTGGGAAAGTGTATATCATTAGTGCAGTTATGGGATGATGGACAATGGGCACTTATTATATTGTTTTCACTTGCGTGTGTTAAAAAGTTCATAATACAAAGTTTAAAAATATACGTTTCACATATACTGAACATTTGGTATGTGCCAGGAGATGTTCTAAATGTTTTGTGTTTATTAATGTACAGTACCATTTTCACATGAATTACCACCTATATGACCTGGGGCAATTTGCTCAACTTGTCTGAGGCGGAGTTGCCTTTCTTTTTACAAGGGAGGATGAGGATGAACGAACACTTCCAGGCGCTCAGCGAGCAGTAGCATGTGCTATTAGCCCGTTTAACCCCCACGGCAGCCCCATGAAGTAGGTCCAGATGCGGCTCGCTGATCGCAGAGAGAAATCAAAGCTGAGATCTCATCGGATGGTTGGAGGGGTTCAGTGGGCCAAAACATACAGAGTGCTCAGCATGAGGTCTGATGCACATCAAGTGTGTAGCATATGGCAGCTATGAGAATGAACAATGCCGTTTGCTTTGTTTTCTTCCAGAACGGGAAGCTACTGGTCCAGCAGGATGGAGTGAAAAGGAGGAGTGCGGAGCTGGCCACGGAGAAGGATGCTCTGAAGGTGCCATCCCTCCCTAGTGCCTTGACAACTTCCCACCACTCGGGGCTATTTTCCCATCTCCTGTTTCAGCTGCTCCAGCCTAGTGAGGACAAGGGACTTCCCTCAAACCGGCAGGTTCCCAGGGCCACCAGGCAGCTCTGCCAAAATCCCTCTCAGTGTAGCCAATGTCCAGAGAGGCCGCGGAGGCTGAAAAGAGGGGCTCGAAAGAGGAGCTGCCTGGGGAGGGCAGGGCTGCAGGGTAAGTCCCGGGAGACCAGACAGATGGACAGGCTCCTTCCTTGGCAGCGGGAGCTCTATGAGTGTGAACGCCTCATTTGCCAACGAGATGCTGATCTCTCTGAGGTGAGGGGGCCAGGGATGGGGGGACATATGCCTTCCATGTGTACCTGGCCAGCTCCTGCCCCTAGTCTGGCACAGGAAGTCCCACCTGGGTCTAATCCCGGATAAGCAACCTAGGGAGGCAGGCGAGCTTCCCCAAGGTCACAAGCATGACCCTGCAGGATCTGGAAACCCAGGGCTCTCCCTCAGGCCCTAGCCCTTCCCCCTAGCTCACCCTGCCAGTACCCACCCCCACCTCCTCAGTGTCTTTTGGGGGCTAGGCCCAGCCTCAGTTGGCTTTGGCCTTTCCCAGCGCACTCGCCATGCAGAGAGTCTGGCCAAGACCTTGGAGGAATACAGAGCGACAAGCCAGGTAATGTGGTGTGACGCCCACGCCTTCCCTTGGCGGCCCGTCTGGCCCCATGCCCCCACTTCTCTCACCCTCTCTGGGCTCTGTTTGCCCCTGGTCTCTATGAGTATCTTACAGCCCACGTGTCTCTTGCCTCTCTGTGAATCTGTGTCAATCGGTGTCTTTCATTGTTCCAAGTCCTTGTCTCTGCCTCTGCCTTCCTTGCCTTAATTTTCCTGGCTGGGAGGTTGTCTTCAGGGTTCCTGCTGCTCTATCTCTCTTTGGCTTCCTACGTTTCTGCCACTGCTCTCTTCCCCTTGTCCCTTGGCATTATGTGCCCAAAGTTGACCAAAGAAGTCAGGGGAGAGGAGCTGACCTTGGAAGAGGGGCCCAGGGATGGGCAATGGGGAAGAACAGAGAGTCGGGGACCCCACTCCCTCCTTTGCAGGAACTGAGGCTGGAAATCTCACATCTGGAGGAGCAGCTGAGTCAGACCCACCAGGGGCCAGAGGAGTGAGTGCAACGTCGGGTGGGGAGGAGGCTGGGGGGCGCCCAAGGGCAGGGTCCCCTGGCCTCCAGTCCAAAGGTGGGCAGGGCAGAGGCCGCAGCATAGGCTGACAGGTGGCAGGCAGGCATGGAGGCAGCCTTCCCCCTCCTTACTGTGTGACCAGGCCACCCGAAGGGGCCCACATGAGAAGAGTGGGCTGGACCAGACTGCCGCTCCCATCACTGGGTGTGGAGATCAAGGCCATTCAGCAGGTGGGCCTGGTACCCTGGGAACGTGGTGGAGGCCACCAAGGCAGGGACCTCCACCATCTCCCCTCTTCGACCCTCATACCCAGCTGGTCGCCTGGCCCCAGAGCTCTGGACAGCCAGCCATTTGGGGAACCCCTAACTCACATGGCTGCCATACAAGTTCCCCCAGTCCCAGCTCTTCTCCACTCCCTGCCTCAGATCCCAACCCCACCCACCACCTGTCCCACTAGGGCCCAGCCCTGACTCACCACCCCACCTCCCCAGGATCTCTCAGTCCTTAACTTCATCCCTAACCGGATCCTTGGTGTTCACACCAAACCCTCCCTGGGGCCTGCCTCATACCAGCTCCCGCCACCTCCCATCACCACCCCCATCTCTGACTTGTCTTCTGCCCACTGGCCCTCCCTGACCTCAGAGACAACTTCTCCTATCCCAGAAACAAGAAGTGGCAGCCACCAGTCTCTCCAGTCCTCTGTGTGGCTTTTGGCAGTGGGAGGAGGCCACCGGTGAGACCAATGCGGAAGCTGAGTTTCCGTCTGAAGCCCCAGCTGGAGCACAGGTGAGTAGAGAAGGGCTCTGAGACCACTGAGGGCTGGACCCAAGGCCCTGAGCCAGACAGATGCCAGCCCTGCCCTCTAGGGACTGGCCTGTCAGTGTAGTAGACAAAAGTGGACAAACAGATTGCATTGTGGTGGTTTCATGGTGGTTTAAGAAACACTGTCAGGAATCATGTTTAGAATGGTGCTACAGTAGGAAAGTAATGAATGAACTTCCTGAGCATGAAGATACATTAAGCATTTACCTTTTGAATACAAGGCACCTTTAAGAAAAGCTTAGCAAGCCCACTATGGAACCTTGAACTCAACAGCAGCCCTTTTATGACTTCACTAATTACTGGAGCAACATTTCAACATCCTTTAAAACAGCTGAAGCAACTCACATCTTCAATGTCCACAATGGAAAAGTGAGATTTTAATCTATTGGTGCCAGGAGAATATTTTTAAAGCAAATATTGCTAACAGCCCTTGTATTGTCTTGAAAATCTTACCACTTCAAAGCTGTTTGCCACCCTTTAAGAAAAAACTCATTTGCTCACTTTTTCTCAGAGTTGAGAAGCTTCTGTGTCTCTTCAACAGCAGTGCTGTCATTTGATATTACACTTACCTCTCCTGGCGTCGGGCCAGGTGGACATCCTCATCCCTCATCCTCATGGGAAACCGAGGCTCAGGGAGCACATGTCCACAGTCACACAGCTTGTGGGGCATCCCTCAGAAGAAGTGTAAATCAGAGTGGGCTTCTGTGCCTCTCAGATGCCCCCTGAGGGGAAGGCTGGCCCTGTCTTCAGGGTGCCGCCTGCACTGGGTCCTGAGGATACAGAATGGAGTCATTCGGGCCTGGGCCCCTTAGCACTCGGGGTCTGGTAGGAGAGATCATGCAAACAGGCCATCCCAGTGCAGGGTCACCAGTGTGCTAGAGGTGGGGGGCAGGCCCTGTGGGAGCCCAGAGATGGTGGAAGGTTAGAGGAGCTATCACAGGGAAACTAGCGCTTGAGTTTAGTTTGAAGAAAATTGAGTAGTGGTGCAAGGAAAGAGAGGCCTTCCAGGGAACAGAATAGCATGTGATGTGCAAGGGTGTGGGGGCCTGAAACCACACATACATGTGGGGAGGGGAGGACAGCTGGGAGTGACCAGTGGGAAATAAGGCCTGACCAGATCATGAAGAATTATGTTAGTCAAACTGAGAGACTGTACTTTTCTCCATAAACGTCCCAGGAGGACTGTGAACATGGAGGAGCAGGGTCGGCTCTGGATGTAGAAAATCCTTCTGGGACCACATGGGACCTGACTGGAGGCAGGGAGGCCAGGGCCTTGGGATGGAGGAAAAGGGATGGGCAGAGAGAATTGGGGTAGGGGAGATGGAGTTGCTAAGGTTGTGGGGAGCTAGGGAAGAGAAGAAAAGAGGACACCTAACTTACCCTGCATCCTGGTGAAATGAGGTCCCAGAGGGACGTCAGGCGGCCACCTGGGGGCAGTGGGTGCACAAGCCTGGAGCTCAGGGCTGTATTTAGAAAACACTATGGAGTTGGGGGTTGAGGCCATAGGCAAGGATGAGATATCTCCTGGGGGAGAACAGCTGGGGGCCACCCCAGCCCAGGAACCTGGAAAGAGAGGGTTTGGAAGGAAAACAGTGGGCCCCTTTTGGGTCCAGGTGGGTGTGGGAGGTTTGGGGGGCCTGAATCCTGGAGTTCTGTGGAGAAAGGGGTGTGGTGGGATCCAGAACAGCTCTTAGCTTCTGGGTTCTGCTCCTGGGAGGTCAGCCATTCTCAACAAGGGGGCCCAAGAGGAGGGCAGATTTTAGAACCAGGTGGGGAATTCTTGCAGGTCTTGCAGCCTGAGAGACCTAGCCTTCTTCTTTCCCACAGAGAAGCTTCCAGGGAGAGCCAGCGCGCCCTCAAGAAAAAAGGAAGACGCAGTCCATGTGGTAAGAGCTTCCCACAGCCACCCGTCCGCCTCAGAGTTATGCCCAATTCTCTGATGGATAGAGTGCCAGGACCAGAGGAGCCCTGGGGGAGAAGTGAGTCACCCATCAACTCATTCACTGGTGCTGAGGCGACCTTGGGCCTGTGGACCAGGATGAGTCAGACCCAGCATGCCCTCGGGAGGGGCAGACAGACCCAGACTGCTCTGGCACCTCACCCCACCTGGCGCTGCCTGAGTGGGGGCCTGAGGGAGAGGTAGTTGTGTAGGAGACTGAGACAGGAAGGCTGTCAGGCAGATGGGACAGCTCAGTCACTCTGTCACTCTCACTGAGCACACCCCTCCCAAGGCCTCCGGGGAATCCTGGAATGAATGAGGCCTCGCCGGTGGGCCCCGGGAGAGCTCCCAGGCAGCTGGGAGACCACCAGTACTCTGGAGTCAAACATCCCTGTTCAAATACCAGCCCACTACTTTAGTGCTAGGGTTGGTGAGAGCGTTCTGCATGATGCCACGGAGCCCCAGCCCTGTGATTGCTAGGCGACCATGTGAGGCTCACGGGTGCAGGCCTGTGAAGACAGAGAAAGCCCTGCATGTCTGGGCTCCCCTCCTCCGGAGCTCCTGCCTTGGGCCTCCTGTTTCCTGGGGGGCCCCCTTCTCCCCCTCCGCTCTTTCAGGCTCCCTGTTGCAGCAACTAATGAGGCTGCCAGCCACTGGCCTCTAATTGGACTCATCTGGGAAGCTGAGATTGGGCAGGTGGCAGCTTCGGAGCTATGACCTCTCCTTGCGTCAGCAGGGAATGGAGGGGCAAAGGGGCCAAGCAGCAGCGGGGGCGAGGGCTGGCAACAGGCTGGACGTCTGGGTTTCTGGGAGGCGGGAGCAGTACGATCCACAGATTGGGAAGTTGAGAGTGAGGCAGGTACTGAATCCTGTGGACCTGAGATGTGGCTTGGGGGTGAGGGTTTGGGCCTTGAGAGGGCCTGGGGGATGAGCCACCAGGGTCCCAAGTAGAAGTGCCAGGGGGTCAGACAGCCGCGTATCTGGCCAGAGTTGGCAGCCCGTGAGCCTGGATGCAGCCCGTGAGCCTGGATGCCGTTTTGGGTGCTCGCTGAGGAAACAGCTGTGTCCTGAGGGGGCTGGATCTGAAGCTGGAGGGCGGAATCTCTGGTCCCCAGTGAAGGTGGTGGCCAGTGGTGTGCACATCTGGGTCTCCAGGGCCCATTCGGTCTGGGCAGCTTGAGGCCTGAGTCCCCAGAGAGGCATTTCAGGGGCTCAGGCAGCTGTGAGAAGGAGCAGAGGCCAGGGGGCCTGCACAACTAAGAAAAATGATAGGGGGAAAAGGGGCATTACGATTAGCACATATAAATGGGGGAGGGAGGAGACAGGGAGGGCTGTATAACACAGAGAAGACAAGTAGTGACTCCATAGCATCTTACTACGCTGATGGGCAGTGACTGTAATGGGGTATGTGTTGGGGACTTGATATAGGGGAAGTCTAGTAACCATAATGTTGTTCATGTAATTGTATGGTAATGATAGCCAAAAAAAAAATGATTTGGGGGTGAGTTGTGGGGGCCTCATACAGTCATGTTCTGGAGCTCCAGTCCTGAAATAAGATCCAGTAAGACAGAGACTCCCTGAAAATAGCACAGCCCACCTGGCAGGCAGTGGGGGGGCAGGGTCTACAAATGCCTTGGCTTCTGGAGAAACCTCAGTCTGGTGTTTCAGGGGTGAGAGAGCCAGAAGCTCAGCTCTCAGCTGGGGCATCGGCCGGGAAAGTAGCAGCTGAGAAAGCCAATGAGACGGAGACTGTCCTACCCTTACTCTGAAATCACAGACTCTGAGAATTTGGTGAAAATTCCACTGAAAAATACAGCAGTTTGCTCATGAGGCTCCCAGACACCCTCTAGGCCCACCCGTGCGCCTGGTCTGTGTTAAGACCCCTGCTTTAAAGGCTCCCCGACCCCACAGGGGTGAACGGGAGCCAGGCAGAAGAGAGACGCCCACAGGGACCTTGTCCCTACAGGTTGCCCAGAAGAGAGGCTGAAGAGGAAGCAGAGAGCCAGTTCACGGTAGGCAGTCCCCAGCACCCCGCCCAGGGTCCAGGTCCCCCGTGGGGCTGATGATGGAGCCGCAGCTCCTGCCCAGCCCCCACCCACACACCCACTCCTCCTGCGCAGACAGAGAGATCGTTGGGCAGGGAGATAACAAGGCCCTCACAGTAGCTAATGAGAGCGGATGGTGCCCCGGGGAGAGGACTGCAGGCCTGTAGGCGGCCAGAATACTCCCCAGAGACTCTGAAAGTACATGCACGCGCGCGCGCGCACACACACACACTCTCTCTCTCTCTCTTTCTCTCTCTCTCTCTCTCTGCTGCAGCCACAATCCATGGGCCTCACATACGTGACTACAGCCCCAGATTGCGAACATTCACATGCACACGTGCCCACACACACGGGGTGGCCAGGGCCCCCAGCCAGCCCCAGGGCTCCCTCAGGGCACAGCACCCACCTGTCACAGGTCCCTTGCCTGACACCACACATACCAGCAGGCTCCTCTGCTCCTCAAAGCAAGGGTGGGGTGCAGGTAACAATCCCAATTCTCAGGCAAGGAAAGGGAAAGAAACTTGGGGAGGAGAAGTGGGGAGCCCCTGGTCTCCAGCTGAGGAAAGCAGGGCCTGAATATGTGCCAGGGACTGGGACCCTTCCAGGTACAAACCATCTGAGATGACCTCTTGATCAGCCTGAGCCCAAAGCCAACCAACCTCCTTCCTGTCACACCATGCTCCCTTCCCTGGGGACCAAGCCCCTCAGTTTCCTAACATGGGCTTGAAGATCACCTTACCCAGCTGTGGGGACGGAGGTGAGGGCTAAGGACCATGTTGTAAAGGACCTAGCTCGGGCCTGGCACAGAGCAGGTGCCCAGTAGGCAGGCATAGGGAAGGGAGTGTTGAGACTGGTGTACCTGTTACTCGTTAATACTTTTTCTTGTTATTGCATCATTATCCATGGAGCAAAGGTGTGGATGGGAAAGCCTGAGACCTACAGAGGGGCACCCTTTCAGAGAGACGTGGGATGAGGTGGCCCCTGGAGGAATACTGGGGCTTTAATCAAAGCGCCTACCAGTTCTGGTACAGGTGGGAAGAAGGACCCGAAGGGTGCCCACGCTAGACTAGGCCCAGGACAGGGCTGGGCTCCTGGGAAAGACGGGGTCTCTGCCCTCTGGGAGCTTGGATACTTTCAGAATCGGATGGCAGTGGGAACAGTACTAGTGACAGTTACTGAATGCCAGACAGTTCTGAGCCCCCTCCTGCTTTTTTGTTTTTTGCTGTACTCACTTGTTCATCTTCACTTCAGCCCCATGAGGTGGGTACAGTCATCGTCCTTGTCCAACATATGGGGAAAGTGGAGCATGGAGAGGTGGGGTGACGTGCCAAGGGACGCACAGCCAGGGCTGGTGGAGCTGGGAACCCCACCCGGCAGTGCGTCGTGGGGAAGCGCACTCACAGAGCCACCATGTTCCACCCCCTTCCATGTGGTCACTTCTGCCCAGTGCACTGAACTGAGGGCCTCTCCCAATTCAGGACTCCATGTCTCAAGTTTGTCTCCTTCCAGGCCAATCTCCCCATCCCTGTGGGAGACCCCCACACTGGAGACATCCCAGAGAGCCCTCCTGAGAGGTAAAGGGTCTTATGAAGACTGGGAGGGGACTTGGGGACAGGGAGAGGGTCCAGCACGACTTCCCTGCCCTCCTTTTTCTCCAGCAGCCCTCCTGAGTTGGAAATGCAACAAGCCCTGGTGCCAGTGGTGAAAAAGCTGGTCCTAGTCAGGAGGCCAGTGTGGGGCCAGCTCTGCCTGCACCCTCTGCGCCCCCAGCAGCTCAGGTGTGCCCCCGGGCATCTCCAGAAGGAGGGCGGTGGTCAGACACTGGGGCATTGCCCACTGCGGGACACCACAGGCTCCCCTGGGCCCTGCCCTAAGCTCTGTGCTGCCTCCCCCCAGGGTCACTCGGCACCCACGGGTCCCGGCCCCTGTGCTGGGCCTGCTGCTGCTGGCGCTGCTCTCCTTCCTGCTGCTGGGCCAGGCCCCGCCCACCACCTGGCCCCACCTCCAGCTCTGCCATCTCCAGCCGCCCCCAGTGTGAGCCCTGCCCCCGCCTGCCTGCTCCCAGCATGTCTAGCTCAGGGAGTTCGGCCAGGCTCTTTCGACTGGCATTCCCATTTGCTGGGCCGCTGTCACCTGGATTTCCCCCAGCACCGGGAGCCCAGATACAGTACTCCAGGATCCACACACCTTTACTGAGTTTGTGACGTCTCTTGTTTTTTTAACGTTGGCAACTGCATTTCTTAATGAGAGCAAAACATGCCCAATAAAGAATTAAACACTAGGGGGTTTTCCTCACAAAACAAGTCTGGAGGAGGACAGCTGTGGACTCACAGCCTCTACACACTCAGGTCTCCTGTGCTGTGGCTGTGATTCTCCTGGCCCTTCCCTCACATTCAGGAGATGGTGAGCATTATAGCTTCATATGTCACATCAGCAGTGGAAAGGGGATGCATCCCTTCCTTGTTATAAAGAAAAGCAGAAGGCTTCGCAGAGCCAGCAGCAGGCCTGTGTTCACGCCTCGGCCACAACAGCTTGGCATGGTCACCCCTAGCTGCAAGGGAGGCAGGGGACAAAGCAGCAGTTCTGGCAGAAGGAGGGAGAAAGAAATGTGGGCCAGGCATGCACCACAGATGTTCACTACAGTGCAAACAGCCAGCTTTTGTTCAGTCAACACTGGTCATCTGTTTGCCACAGCTAGACCTTAGGAGGTAAAGCTGTTGAAAAACAGCCCCCCAATGCTAGGCTATAGAGAGCTGCTTTTTCTCCTGAAGATAATTGGCACTTTGGGAAGTTTTATTGCTTGTTTTTGATTGTTTTAATTGATGTGTAACTTATACACAGATAAATGAACAAATCTTAAGTATCAGCTGGATGAATTTTTGCTTATGTAAACACCCATGGGAACAAAACCCAGGTCAAAGATAGAAAACTGCTTCATCACTGCAGAGCCTTCAGACTCTCTGGAAGAGTCTTAGGCAAGAGAGGGTAACAGTCACACCTATCTAAAGGCAGATAGTGATAGAGGTCGCTGCAGGCTATTTGGGAGCCCAGGAAACACATCTAACCCTGCCTGGGAGGCTAGAAATTTCTTTCCAGATAAGGGACATCTGTGCTTAATCTCGAAAGATGGGTAGAGTTGGTTATAGTGAGGGTGTCTCAGGCCAAGGAAACCGTGCGAAGACCAGGTGGTGGGAAAGCGCCTCCGTGTACAGAGAGCCATAGTCAGCGCTGTGTGGTTGGGATTAAAAAAGGAAAAGGAGCCAGAGAAGGATTTGAGGCCACAGAGTGGGGAGAAGTTAGAGAGGTAGGCAAGAGCCTGTGAAGGGTTCTGAATATCGGCTTGAACTTCACTTCCAAGTGCCCGAGGAAGGGCTGAGCAGGGAAGGGGCAGAATCAGCTCTGGGGAAAGAACCACAAGCCTGCAGAGAGAATAAATAATGGAGTGAGGCTGGAAGCAGGATGGGGAGAAGCCTGGGGCTGAGGTCCAGGTGGGAGGAAATGAAGCTGGAGCTGCGCTGGGCCTGTGGATGGAAAGAAGCGCAAGGGCAGAGGGAGGCGAACAGGAAGGAGGGAGCGGGGGAGGACTGATGGCTGAAGGAGGCGGAGGGAGACAGACGGCAAGGGCAGCACCCGGGTCCAAACCAGTGACTGGTAGACTGGGGGACACTCCGAGCTCCTGCGTGGTGGGGTGAGTGTCAGGGTTCCAAGGAGTGGCCAGAGCCCTGAGCCTTGAGCTGTTTGGAGATGGGGGTCCAGATGTTACTAGCTGTGGGTGGTGATCAAAGCTGTTGGAATTGCTGACATTTCCTAGGAAGAGCGGAGTACAGTGGGGAAGGAAGGGGTTCCGGCCACCATTTAGTGAAAAGCCTCAAACGCTAGGCAAGAAATCTAGGGACGAAGTAGAGCACGGAAGAAGCGCAGGCCAAGAGGCAACTATCATCAGGTGGTCCTGCAAACAGGGTTGTTGTGAGGCTGAGCGAGCAGTACAAAAACTGTCTTTATATTGCTTGGCACAGTAACTGCCCGTTACACCTTAATCCCATTTCCCTGTGCGTAGTGGGAGGGTCTAGACTTACCAAATTGCAGAGCTTTGGGTTTCAATTATCCTCCCGTCCTTTACTAGCGCGGGCAATTTGGGGAAATTACTCCTTTCAGAGTCCTATTTGTAAAATTTGACCAACTCCGGACGGTTTTGAGTAATACAGTTCATTATTCGGTATTTGAGTATTTCCGAATAAGAGAAACAGGGCCACCCCCACAGCCTAAGCGCCAATTAGGGCGCGGTCCGCCTCCATGAAATGCAAATTAAAGAGAACTTGTCAATTACCAAGCGCCAGCTCAGCCCCTTCCCGCGCGCCGACTCGCCCAGCTCCACCCTCTTTCCTAGACCAATCAGTGCGCGGCCCGCACGAGCTACGTCCCCTGTGAGAGGTTCAGAACCCTCGGCGTCCTGCGGGGAGTGAGTTGCCTGGGTCACCATTGAGGGGCGGGGCTGAAAGGCCGGCCGAGCCTCCAGAGAGAAAGGCGGATTCTGATTGGCTGCTTCCTCGCTTCACCCTCGGCCAGGTGTCTCCCGCCACCCCAGTGCCTCCCAGTCCTACACCTGGGTGCCTATCTCCTCTCCGCACGCCCGAACCTGACGCAAATGGTCTCCTGGGAAGGACAATCAGAAAACCGTGAAGAAATTGCTGGAGGCTACTGCGAAAAAGCGGGAAAACCCTTTTCTAATAAGTTTTGTTTTTGTTTTGTGCCGGGCGCTGCACTGTTCTCAGGCTGAATCTGGTTTAGTCCTCACAACAGGTGAGGAAAAGGAGCCTCAGAGGTTAAGCCCTTCCCACTACCACATCACAGCTAGGTCTGCAGTATGGTTCTGAATGGCAGGTGCATCTCACACCAGAGCCCCGATCGTCCACTACGTCGGGACAGAAGTCGGGAGGTGACAAGAGAGTGGAGGCGGCGAAATTCACAGAAAATGAGAGCTGAAAGAGAGAGGCAGAAACCCAAAGGAAGAAAGAGAAGGAGGACACGAAGGAATCAGGCAGACTAGTGGAAGGAAGCGTTTTAGAGGCAGAAAGACGAGAGAGGAGGTAGAGATCCCCAGAGGGCCGAAGCCAGGAGGGTGAAGAGAGAGAACTACAGAGACTCAGAACGAAGGGGAACAGATTCCCAGAGAGCGACAGAGACCCAGAGAAAAGGACCGAGACCCGGCCTCGGAGTAGAGAAGACGGTGGGGAAGGGCCGAACAGAGATCTAGGGAATGAGAGAATATGCGTGGGGAGAAAGATGATTTTTTTTTAAGAGAGAGAAGGGACAGAGGGGCAAGATGACGGGGTAGCCACGCATCCCCCCCCCCCCCCC